TCATGTCATTATCGTATTTTTAACGCAATGAATAGAAGAAAAAATAATTTTCTTTTTTCTTCTCTTCCCAAACTAATTTTTCTTTCTAAAGTGTTCTTCAGTTCTAACAAATTGGATAATTATCATTGGTGAATCGTTGTAATTTTTCTTAATCTAAAGATTTTTTTTTTATTTTTTTTTTGTAACACTTAAATGAAGGGTGGAAAAGAATATTAATTTTTGGTTTGTATTTTTTGCTCATTTGATTCAATAGTATTTTTCATCTCCTTGTAAAACTAAATTTATGAAAAACACACTTAACACTTACATTTTTGCCTCTTTTACTATCAATTTGGTTTTTTTTAGTAAAAAATATTTTTTGCATTCTTTAAATTTAATTTAGGTCATAAATAATAGGTACATTATAAACTTAATTAATAAACGGATAGTATATACCTAGTTGTTTCATTTGGTATGTAAACGAAAAAAATATTTTAGAAAATACTTTGAAAATTAAAATATAATGAAAGTTGAGCGTTGGAATTGATGTTTTCTTTTAATTCTAGATTTTTAATAAAAAAAATTAATTAAATTAATCTCGAAGTAATTTTTAGTACAATGGTTCAGATTTCTATTCATAATAGCTTTATACAATTAAATTCAAAAAGTTATTAAAAATATTTGTATAATCTTAAAGCCTTAAGATAATTATTTATTTCTTCATCTCATGTGATCAACGATTATGGGCAATTATAATGGAATTTTAAAGTTGGCAAAAATAATACGTGTACGTTTATGCAGTAAGAAAATTTTTCTTCATCCCTTCAAATAAAAATTAATATTATGCATTAGGATTCTTTTCCACACATTTATTATTTTTTGTACACATATGTTCATACATATACTATAATGTAACTGTTATTCGATTTTTCTCTTCATTTAATTCTCTATGCTTATAGATCAATGGAAAGATTCATTGACTTACTTTTTGTATATACCTTCTGATACACTTACATGTAGGGTTGGTAAGGAAAGAAATTAGCACAGTCAAAATAACAACAAAACAAAAAGAAAATCTTCAGTTTCTTCAATCATTTATTAGTCGAATAAATTATATGATGATTTAATAGTAGGTCATCTGTTTTATATTCCATTTTATTTAAGCAATCTAAGAATCTAAAAATGGAACATGTATACGTAAACCTGTATGCATATGTATAGATTAGCTGTTTTGTGAAATTTAGAAGTAAATCGAAGTATATGATATTAAAAAATTCAGATGTATGTATGAAAGTAATATTTCAAGAAAAATTTTATTTGTAGAAAAATTTAGGGGTACAAGTTATTCAATAGTTACCACTATAGTTATCATTATCCAGTGAAGAAGAGTAACTAAAACGAAAATTAAAAGATTAGAAAAGAACGTTATAACGTACCGTTATGTTTCAATATACATAAAAATTCCATATTATTTGCACAAAATTCCTAATTTTCGATAGTAAATATTGGGAAAGTTTATATCTTTTATTTTTGAACAATAAAGTTTAAGTATATAACATTCTATTTCACAAGTAGTAAATGGTAACAATTTCATATCCCATAGAAATATAGGTAGTCAGACCAACGTTTGAAATTTGCCAAATTTTCTTTTTTTTTCTAAGAAATTATTAAAAGTTTTATATTTAAGTACTAATGAAATATTGATTTGGAACTGTATACTTGTAACATGAAGGAGACGAACGGTAGCAATTATCAGGAAAAGTTCTTTTTTAACGTTAATTGAAAAGGATTGAATTATTTAATTGAATTTTTTTTGTTTGTTGTTATTCTCTGTGTAACAGCTGGTTTTGATTTATAATTTATATAATATAATTATGATAATTTAATAATTGGTTTGATACAACAGCAGTTTCTTGTAGTTAACAAAAATTCAGGAGATTAATATTAAGAAAGAAATTAATATTAAGTTTTATTATATTTTTAAAAGAATTGTTATATTTATTCATAACTACATTATTATATTTAATAACTAAAATATTCGGAAAAAGGAAATTACAATAAATTTCTTCAAAATTTTATAAGTGAATCAGATTATTACGATTTTTAGGTTTTTTTTTAAATATTTTTTGTTTAAAACTTTAATATTTTCAAAATCTATTTTTTAATTTCAAAATATTTTTATCACAAAATCTGTTTTTTTTTTTTATTTAATTTTTTAAAAAATTTACAAAAAAATGCTTTTTACATTAAAGTTTTGTTACTAAAAAGTATAACAAATGGGGAAATTTTAAAAGAAAAAAAATTATTTGGCGTTTTCATTAATTTTCACTTTTTTATTTATGAAAAGATGATTTTTTTTGCGAGCATAATTTTTGTAAGAAAATACCAAACTATAGAACAAAAAATTTTAGGGAAACGAAAGAAAGGAAATAAGAAATTTTTTATTAAAGTTTTTTGTTAAAATAAATTGAGATTTCCTAAAAGATGTTTTTTTGCGATAAATATACATAGCATATAGTTTTACAGTAGTTTCTCATTATCTTGAATTAACGGTATTTTAATTCTAGTAATAATCTTACCTAAAAAATTTACAAATTGTATGATGCGACAATATGCGACCTTGTGAATTATATGTAACTGTTTTATATTGTATTATTCATTACAATCGAGCCATCATATTAATTATGAAACTGTCAGAAAGTATGTTATCACATTGTCCAAGCAACATGAATAATGCTGCAATTTTACCAGTCACTTTCATTGTCTTTGTTTTTTACTGTCGTATTTATATTGAGTAAACACTGTAACAACACATTTTTATTATGGTCTTCTTTCGCAGTATGACAAAAATGCTTCTTTTGTGAATTTCTGATATTCTATCAACAAAAATTTGAGAATATTTTAATGGCACTTCCTTAAAATCCTTAAAGATAACATTTTCTATCATACACAAGTATAAATTCTATTTTTTCTTATTTTCTTGTTTTCTCTATTTTAATTTATTTATGAAATATTTTTTCCCTTCATTTTATTCGAGTTATATCTTTATTTTTTTTGTATACTTATATAAAAAAAGCATAGTTGGTCTGTAAAACTTAACGGTATTAAATAGTATAAAATCCTTTATATAAAATAAAAATAAAAAGTATTTAAAACATTAATTCGATTATATTTTTTGAAAAGTTTTCAAACCTATTAAAAAAAAATATTGTTCGAGTATAATGCCGAAACATAATTAATCTACACTAGGATATAATTTCTACGAAGGTCTTACAGACTTTTTAATATTGTTAATAACAATTAAATAAGAAATTGTATATTTTTAATTGTAATTGATTTTGGGTTCTTGCTATAATCTCTATATCTAACAAGTGGAGAATAAGATTTTATATGCTCTACAAAATATATCAATTCTCTACACAATAGCATCCCAAACGTTTTTTAAAGTGTATTAAGCTGAATATTATGATAACTGAAGCGATAGAGCTTTTCAACTCGTTTTATTTCAAAGAATATTTTTTTCCACCGAATATTTGCTTATTGTGTTTATTTATTTTACAACTAGGATTTCACTTGAAGGACTTTATTTATTTAAGATGATGGTTACAAAAAAAAATATAATGCTAGTTTTTGCATTTTGCTATACTGTAAAAAAAACTATAAAGGACAAAAAAGGACGTAGCATTTAAATAGAAAAAATATTTTTTCAATGTTTCTTTAATATTCTTCCGTTTAACTCTTAGTATTCCGTCGTTTTTCATTAAATATATCATTAAATATATATATGATATTTAATTAAATGCGAATTAAAAAAATCTAATATGGTCAGCACATAAACGAACACAATGTCCATTGTCTAGTTTAGCGAAACTCCTATATAAGATTATGAAAATGCCTTTTAAACTTTTCTTTCTAATTTCAAGGAGGTTAGTTAGCTTTATTTAACATATATACTTTAAAAATTGTAAATTTGGCTCTCAGGTTCAAAGATGTATACATCAGGATATTTAAATAGAATGTTTTTGACTTTAAAAAAAATAATAATTCCCAAAATAATTGTTTAAATCTATAAATAACAAAAATTTGTAAAATTGTATACAAAAAATATTCGAAAAAATAATAAAGTATCCAAAAATTTTTTACGAAACTTTGGAAAAGTTATTGAAGTTTCTTCGTAAGAATACGAGTATTGCAGATATCCGCACTGATTATTGCAAAAGACAGAAGCAAAATTAAAACGAAAAATCATTAATTTTTTTCCTTTTTTTTTATTTTTCATAGATAAACATTTGAGTTTTTGTCCATAACCTTTCAAATTTTTTAAAAGAGTGGTTCACTACCTTAACTTTTTATATTGCTGAAGGTGAACAAAAATTATCTTCTGAATAATGGAATGTGATATAAGTATTATAAAAAAAGATAATTTTAAAATTTTGAAGATTTCTATTAATTTAAAATTTTAAAATTTTGAAGATTTCTAAAAAAAGAATTGAATTTTATTTCAATATCTTGGTAAAGTTCGATTACGAGTATTATTTAAATTTATAATTTTATATAGAGTGAATATTTTTGTAAGGCATTATTTTTTGAATTTCAATAAAAATGTTACCGATTTTTTAATTTAGTTCACATTTTAACAGATTTTTAAGTATTAAGACACGTTTAACAACATTTTTTTAGATATAGTAACAACAGAAAATGCTGACAGATACTATCATCTTATTTTTTAAAACCAAATTTGTTATAACATGTACAATAAATACCCAAAACCTAAGTACAATTTTCTTAAATTAAATGCTAACATTTTATTAATCTTATAGTTTGTATAAATATAAAACTTTTTTTATATAATGCAAAAAGATTTTAATTTTAAAAGTATATACATACGTATTATGTATAATACATATATATGTACATAAATATAACATAACAATATTTAATTTATAAAAAAAATAAAAATTTCGATGCAAATTCGATTATTACAATATTTAATTTTTATTTTTTTTTTCTCAAAATTTTAGAAAATGCGTCAATTCCAAAAAACTTTAGAAGATTTAAGTTCTCGTGTTGCATCAGCTGAAACAACAACATCAACATGGAGCCCACCGGCAACAGCAACAGAAGCAACAGAACAAATGCAACATTTACAACGTTTACGTGATAAAATGACTACAGCTGGTGCTCTGTTGGATGACTGTAATGAACAACAGGGTTTCTTTACTGCCAATCATGTACTTGTGCCAAACCAATGTTTATCTAAATTGGAAGACTTAAATACAAGGTAAGAAAAATCTAAATTATGTACATGTACATACCAATATATGTATTATGTAATTATTTTACATATTTTTCTAGTTCAAATTCATTTTATGTTCGTTTGGCTACTAAGTGTATAGTTATGGTTGTTATAGCTTATTAAACATATATTTATATATGTAGTGATACTCAATTTTTTTTTATATATTTTTGAGAATATTTGCGATGTCATTGATTTATTGGCAAACGTACAATTTAAATTATTAAATTTAAAGATTGTAACTAAAAATAATAAGTTGCGTTTTTTCTTCATATATGGCATACTAGTTATTTTCAAAAATATTGTCGTTATCTTCTATAAAATTAATACTTATGATATTAAAACTGAGACGAAAATTATAGTTCTTTAATCATGTTGTTGCTGTAGACTACTAAACTGATAATTTACTTGGAAATTGTTTATTACCTCTGAATAAAAATTTTATTCTAACTCTAAGATAATTACTATTCCTATTGCTTACATTTGTATACTTACTACATTTGCTAAAAATAACCTAAAAATAGTTTAAATGGTAAATTCGAAAATTCTTTATTGCCTAAAAATAATTTTGCTAGTTCGTTATAATGTTTTTTTCAATAGAAAAGTGTGTTCGATATTCTGAAATGAGAATTTAATAAAACTTATTACATTTGAATAAAATAATTTTGAACTGCACACTTCTGCCTAGATTTTATTACATCGAAAAAGTACGCAATTCATGCAATAACCCGTTTTAAAAACATTTCTGTAGTCCTACTGTTTTGAGAAAACGGTATATCCGTACCTTAAAATAAATTTTATTATATATTGGTTGAATATTCGTACACGTGTATAATTACCAAAAATCTATCCTTTTAATAATATATCCTTTTTTAATATTACTATGCTTACAAATTGTTACCTATTAATTTTAATGTTGGTATTCTGTATATTCCCTTTTATACTCGTACATTTAAGTTTTAAAATAAACTTACCACCTTCAGATACCACCTTAATAATAGGTTTGGGTATACTGAAATTTTATTTACTAGTGGTTTACCTTAATGTGTAACCTGTTATCTATTGTACTTGTGTATTATTTCATTTATATGTAGTATTGTTGACGTTATACTATATGAACTAGGTAAACGTGCAAATACATAAACATGCACACACGTTTTGTGAACACAAATGTATAGCCATATTATTATAGTTTTTCAATATTAAAAAAATAAGTAATTCTATCAAATAAGTTTACTAAGTTATGAATTTGTTATGCTAGCTAAATTTTAGCTATATATATTCTTATATATTTATTATGTATATAAAGAAATATATGTTCAGATATGCATTTTTAAATTGTTATGAATGTGTGTATTATAATAAGCAATGAAAGAGAACATGTGCTTAAAAATGTAAATAGAAATAATATAATTAATAGGATATATGCCAAGTACATACATATTTTATATATTATGTATTTCAACAATCATTGAAATTCAATTGGAGAACGTGCTGTATACAGTATCTATTAACAAATATAGTTACATACAATTGTAGATGTAAACTGTGCTCATAATATTCATACATACATGGCATGTATGCTACGGTTTTTTATAAATGTATAGATGTTTATACCTAATTTTTATTCATTTGTAAATAGAACAAAAATTCATCCATTTTCCTTATTCTAGCTAAAATTGAATAAGTATTATAGAATATGTATACATAAGAATGTAACACATATACATACATAAGGATATTTTTAGGTATTGTTTGTCAATTTGTAAATTTAAATAAAAAAATTCAGAAAATTGATGAAATATTAAAAATGCAAATTGATACAAATACAATATAAATTGAAGGAATTCATCAAGTTATGTATGTATGAAAGTAAAGAGTTCAACTGATCAGATATATGCATGCACACTTACTTTTACTTACATATATGTACACCATACTTACATATCAAGTTGATAAAATTGGGAATTCTGACATTTCAAAATTTGTTTACCACAAAAAAAATTAATCGTAAACTAAAAGAATCAGAATATTTATTTTGAGTTTCAATAATTCAAAATATGCTTGGAAAGTGTGCAAATTTTATAAATTCCTAATATTTATATTCATAGTATTACATAAAAGTAGGTGACTGAATTCAATTTTTATTACAATTAGTTTGGGGCATCAGAAGGTTAATGTATTTAGGTTAAATCACGCCTCCAATAAATAAAAATGCATTAATCAAATGAAATCTAAAATTTAGAACTCTAAACTTTGAGCGAAAACGTTTTATTAAATGATTAAAATATTCCTTAAAATTGTGTCAGTACTTATTTGGTCGAAAGCTCTTGATTCAAAACTCATAATTTTTTATTGTACACAATTTTTAATTTAATTTTCAATTTAAATTGAAGCAAATTAATTGCCATTTTACATTTTGTAACATTCTATAGTAACAGTTACCTCCTATAAATATCCTATAAATATGGTTTGATGGCGATAAAAGCCTAATTATTATTCAAATTTAAATTAATGAATTTTTTTGTGTTCTCTTTTTTAAGAAACAAAATAAAATCAAAGATTAAGTTTAAATTGAACTGAATTTTATATAAAAAGTTAGACATAATATTAAAATGATAATATATAGAATAATTATTCTAATTATGATATTAAATATTTAGTAATAACGCATTTGTAAATTGATGGCAAAATATTTTTAGCTAAATAAACATGTGAAAAATTAACACCAAATTATAAATTAATGTTATTAAATTTCATTAACCTTTAAAGAGTTGCTAAATTTAAATGACATTATAGGTTTAAATTTTCTATAAATGAATTGCTGCTTCGACGTATGATTTTGTGCAAAATTTTTATATTTCTGTTGCCCATATATTCAAAGATATGCAGAGATCATATTTAAAGAAATTATTGAAAAATTTTCACGTCTACAATAATAAAAATTATGTCATATACCATCCCAAATTTTTTTCTCCCATTAAAAAAAAAACTCATAAAAGTTTCCTTTTTCTTAACAATATTTTTAATATCTGCTCCAACTACCATATTATTTTTATTCAAATGAAGTGTAACAATTTTATAATCCCAGACATTTTGAAAAATCTACACAATATTTTATCATTATTTGCTTGTTTTGCAATGTGTTATACAAAAATGTGAAAATGTTGACATTTTTATTTTTAATAGTCAACGAACAACTTTTATATACATAAACACTTAAAAATATTATCAAGTGTGCAAATATATGAATATTTTTCACAATAAAATTAAAAATTGAAGTAAAATATTAAAATATTGCATTCTATAAGTTTATTTTATATTTTTTTAAATTGTATCTTGTTTAGTAGTACTCAAATGATATCGCATATAGTATTAAAATAAAACATGAATGTGACAAATTATTTTAAATTTAATATTTTCAAAAGTAGCCAATTTCAAGAATTCAACCATTTATTTTTTTTTGTTAGTGACTCTTATAATAGTTGAAGTCTCCATTAAAGTCTTTATTTATAATATGATAAAATTTAAATATATATATGTATTTCTAAATTTATATCAATGCAAAAAAATGTACGTATATACGCACATTCACATATGTATATATATATATATATATATATATATATATATATATATATATATATATATATATATATGTATTTATATTAATACTAAACATTTAGTATTAAGACAAAATAATTATTAAATTACATCACGTACTTCTTATAATATCCTTACACTATATTTAAAAGAATAAAATATTTTTCATTTAACAAGTCTATTGTCACCTTGATAATCAAGTATGTGAAAGCAAAATATGTATATATACAATATTTTGTTAATTTTGTATATAATATACTCGTACATAAGTATATACATAAATATTAAGTTAAAATTACATAAATATTATCTTTCCCTCATGATGATAATGTAACACGTCTTTAAGTATAGAACAAATAAATTTTACAATTTTAATGTATATCTACAATTATATTAAATTAAGTGCTATTAAAACTGTGTTAATTATATAACACAAATTATATGCATGTAATATAATGCCATCGTAAATTTAATGTCTGAAATTGCATTTAGAGTGCGTGAATCTTATAAAATTTTATTTTATTTTAAATTTATCTAAATCTTAATCACTACTTTTATTTCACATTTCATAAAGTTTTGTACTATAATAATAATAATTCTGAAGTGACAAAATTCCATGAGATGACACACTCGGATATTATTTTTTTTTTGTTAAAAAAAATTTTAACTAAAAAAAATAATATTTCAAATTTTGTAGACGAAATAATTTGAATAATTAATTTATTATTACTTTTTTCGAAGAAATCCTAATGACAACGGTAACCTTTTAAATTTTGCAACTTATTTTTGTTAAACAGTTGTCGATTATACCTTTCAACACTAAATTTGCACAAGACTATCATCCTTATAAGAAAAAACGCACTCCCCATCAGTTTCTGTTTACTAAAATGCAAAGAGTGTAATAAAATGTTACACTTCACAGTCATAATTACTTTAAAAAATCTTCATAATTTTCAAATAAAACATAATATTATTTATTATACACGTATATATAATGTGCAAAATTTATTAAGAATTTATGTATTTTGTTGCACTTAAAGATGCTTCAATTAAAATAAAGTTAATCTTAATTTAATCTCCTTATAGGATTAATTTAGAAAATAAATAAATAATTATTATCACGATATATAATAAAATTCAAGCAACTTAAGATATTCATATAACCTTCTTATATTTATGTCATTTTAATGGTTTGACAATAAAATAAGAGAAAAATTAAATTTTAATAGATAAAAAGAATTTTTTTGCTAAGAGTATATTTCAAGTTTATATTTTGTCACCATTTTTGAAACAGGACGTTATTCAAATCTTGTAGTCCACGTTTAGATGTAATTCATTTTTTAGGATGTAGTTTAATTTAGAGAAAGATTGCATTATAGAATTACAACAGGTTATATTGTTTGTTATAAAATTGAAATTATTTTAGTAGTAACAAACCTTGTAAAGATTTAAGCCAGTTTTAGATATTCTAACAAATAATAGTCTTTACTAAATATTACAGGAGTTCAAGTTTTTTTAAAATCTGACTTTTTAAAAATATATACATACATTATTATTTTGAAAATTTTCACTTATTCGACAGCTAATGTTATTTATAAATCTTATATAATTGTTATATTAATATATTAATATTATGTTCATTTTAAAAAGTAGAGTTTTCACTAATATCTACAGACTAGCATTAATGGTCCTATCCGGAAACTTATCATTTGAATAATATCAATAGTCATTCTTTTTTAATATATACATGCTTATATATAAAAAGATTACAAAGCATTACGCAATACTCTCCTTATTTATGAAAGTGATATAAAATATATCGACTCAAAAACATGTGCGAATAACATAAATTTTTCAAATATAATTAATAAGGTCAAGTTTTAATTTTAATCCAAATATTTTATCTCTTTAATGAGCAATTGCTAATAAGAGAAGATTAAAATTGATAAATCGCAAAAATACAATATTAAAAATGTAAAAGAAATTGGAATTGAGGAAGTTAAATTGTAAATACTGCTCGTAAAATACTTGTTATTTGAAAATATCAAAAAACTAGAAAAACTTAAATTACTATTGATAAACTTGTTTTAAAATGATATATTGTAAAATTTAAATACACAATTTAAAGCAAGCATATATCGCTGAAACTCCAATCTAAATTCAGCATACAGTTTTTTTTTTTAAATTATCTAAATAATGTAATTTAAATTTATATTTATTTGAAAATTTTCAATTGCTTACTTTCAAGCTGTTTTATTGAAAATCTTCGAATTTTTCATTTTTAAATGACACTTTTCTTAATTGACTGCAATGAAATGTTTGTTTTGCACAATTTTACAACAATTTTTTTAACGCTATTAACAGAAAAGCGCCTTTAGTAATAAAATATGCACATTACGTTACATATATAACATATAACAATTTTATATTTGTATATAAATAGTATAATACTTTATGTTTCTTAAGGAAATTCTACTAACTAATTGCAGTTGGAATGTAACAACAGTAATCAGTGTTAGGAAGGAATATTTCGTACATTTAGACAAAGACTCTCACATTTTTGTAAAATATTCTTATAAAATACGGAAAGATTCTGACCACACGTTTTTATTGAATTTTGTTCTTAAAACATTTCAAGATGTTCAAGTTTGAGCCACTCCAAATCAAATTGGATAGAGAATATGAGCAGCAAATGTCTATAAATCTGTTTTTTGAAGTATGTAAATTGATTAAAAAAGAATAATATATATACGGGAAGATCTGATTGTAAAAAAGAATCCCAATTCTAACATAACTTGATTCGTAGTGATTAAATCTTGTAAATAATTCTAAAGTCATTGGTAGAGCAATATTTTGTAAAGTTGTTATAGTTAGTTCATTTTGATCGTATATAACTTCCGGATACAATACTGCTTATATATAAAAATTAAGTCAAAGAAATAAAATTTGTCATGTGAATTCCAATTACTGAGCTTAAAATATTTCTATCAAAGAACTGTTTCAAAAGGTCTTGCTTTGCTTTGCACTGCATGCACTTTCGTATACAACTTCTTAACCCAAAAAAGCTAATTTCAGGTACTATATTACAAAAACAAAAATTTAACATATAAAACTTAAATCTCAATTTTTCATCACCTGGCTGTTAAGTTGACTGTAAATTTGGTCTACTACATCTACTAATTTTAGCTTAACTGTAAGTGTTAAAAAAAACACTTGTTATTTATGAAAATATTAATTTCAAGGTGCAATATATATGTGTATAGTACATAAAAAATGTATAACTACTAATTCCTGTAATTTATTGAAACTGTAGTAACAAGTTTTTAATTAATTTTGATTAGTAAAAAAAAAATTGAAGACTAAAGATTATCATCAATTTAAGTTTTTTTTTTTTATTTGCACTATTATAGTTAATTTATTTTTCCTCGTCTTAAATTGATAATAAATTTTGATATCTAGTTAAAAATAAATTAGAAAACTGAAATAAAGAAAAATGTTAAAAAATTTATATAAAATTATATTTGTATGTATGCAAGTAAAATAATGATTATATTGCGAATTTATTAAATAGCAAAAGAAGAGATTAAATTTAATCGTTCTTTAGACAGTGCCTGTATATTACAATAGGTATATGTATACTCATGGTTGTTGGATGCTTAGTATATAGTTAAGGAAACTGTTCAAGAAAAATTGAAAAAGAAAATTTATGTAGTCCTATTTAATAATTGATTAAACATCTTATAAATCACTTTATTTTTAAATTTTTTTTAATAAGGAATTCAAAATTTTTGATAAAGATTAAAATTTGTGAACATTATGTGAGAATGTTGTTAAAAATTTTTCAATAATTTTGTGCATTTTAATTCACATTTAATTTTCAATATTAGGTGTTTGAATCTAGACAATGGATTGGAAATAGCAAAACTGTCATTCATTTATATTAGAAAAAAATTTAAAACGCATATGAAACGGGTTTGATCAAAAATTTCTGCATAATTTTCCACAATTTTCAGAAAATTGTTCTATAGATAAGGAAAAAAAAAATTATTGAGTCGCTAAAAAGTGTTTTTAAATTTAAATTAGGTGAATACGCTTGATCAAATTTTTGGCGCAATAAAGTTTTCAAACCCTTTTATATTTTAATACTCAATACACTTGTAATTGCAATACAGTTTATAGCAGTTCCTATCACATAATTATTACAGTTTCTATACAAGTAATTTTTGTTTACTTGAAAATAAAGTCCTACCTTTTGGATTTTTATGCCATTTTAAAATTGCTACTCGTATTTGATTATTTTCGATTTTCATTTAAAATTAAAACTTTTAAATTTTTAACATTTACTCATTTTACAAGTTAAAAATCTATTTCTCACAACTTTTTTAATGAAAGTTTTAAAAAAAATTTAAAAACTGCTTTATCCAGATATTTTTTTGTTAGTTTAAATTTTTATAACAACTTTTTATTTTATTTTTTAAAAAAATTTTTATCCTTGATTATGTTTTATTGATTTTTCTTATATAAATATATTTTTAGAATGAAACTTTTACAAATTGCAATGGATGAACGTCAGAAAGTTTTAATAAATGCAGGTGGTAATCAATTAATCGGTACTAACGATGATGGTAGAACAACATCGAATAGCGGTACTATAGGTCCTTTACCTAATTTAGGACAAAGTGTTAAACCACCATGGGAACGTGCAACGACAGCTGCCAATGTGCCTTACTATATTGAGTAAGTTTAATTTATTAAATTACATTTAGATATATTAACTCTTAGCGTGTTTTAGCTTTTAGTCTTATTTTTCTAATTAAAATTCAAATTCATTTTATTAATGTAAGATAAAATCTTTGGAAAATCAAAAATTATTAACAAATTTATTTTATTTTCTTTATTAATTTATTAATTTTATTAAAATATGACTATAGTCATGAGCGGGAAACAACTCATTGGGACCATCCAGAAATGATTGAACTTATGAAATCTTTAGCGGATTTAAATGAAGTTCGATTTTCAGCATATCGTACAGCATTAAAATTACGTTCAGTTCAAAAACGATTAGGTAAGTTGAAATTATAAATTATGACCACATTTCAAAAAATTTACGATTTTATGTACTTTTTAATATCAAAAATCAATTTGACTGCCCTTCATTCGATGAAAAACTTTATAGAATTTTGTTTTCATTGTTACGTACATACATCAAAACGTAAATTCTTAAATATAAGTATACCAATATGGTATGTGCTTTATAATCCTCGCATTGGCATAATTTGAAGAAAGAATTTTAAATAATAAGTTTTTCTATTAAAATTTTTATTTTTCAAAAAAATTTTAGAAATTTTACTCTCATATATAGTATGTCACTAAAAATAAAGCCTTTATATGAAAAAGCTCTACTTTGTTTTTGATTTTCGAAAATTTGACATACATATTATATCGAAATTTCGAAAACTTTCTTTTTGTAAATCAATTTTTCAAAATATTATGAATTCAATTTTGTTCTCATTCTATTATTGCTTTATACACTTTTGAAATTTCTATGACAATCTGTCTCTGCTTTTAATTTTTTTAGATTCACGTATAAGCTCGCATGTACCTGCACGTGCAAAAACTAATTTTGACCTATTTTCCGGAATAGTATTCAATTTTTGTTTTTATAATAAGTTATTTTTAATAGTTTCTATTTTCATTTATGGAGACGAAAACGAAAAAAAAATTTAAAAAAGAATTTTTTGAAAGATTTTAATTTTTAAATTGAACACGTACCTGAAAAGTTTAAAACTAACAATTTATGTATTTATTTTTTGCTCTTATTTTCATATAATTTTTCAAATTCAAGAAAAAAAAAACTGATTTCTTCATCTTTTTTCACTTAAAATTCTGTAAGATTTAAAATTCAATACGGTCACGAACATTCCAAATCATTGACAAAATAATACCTTTTATTAAGGTACTTTCAATTTTCTGTTTTGTATACTTCCAGATTATAAAAAGTAAAAATTTTATACAAATGTATGTAATTGTACATATTTACTGTACATCATGTACAACATTGTATATCTTTATAAAAAAATACTTATGTATAGTATACTTAAACAATACTTAAATATATAAAAATAAAAATAAAAAAAGCAAAAATAAATTTTATCCTTTTCCCTGTTTTTTTTTTATTTTTTATTTCTCACTTAATAATAATGTAGCATTGGATCGCATCCCAATGTCAGTGGCAATAGACTCATTTGATCGACATGGTTTACGTGCCCAAAATGATAAAATCATTGATATACCAGATATGACAACTGTTCTGCATTCCTTATATGTTACCATAGATCAAATAGATTTACCCTTGATGTTGGATTTAGCAATCAATTGGATATTAAATGTTTATGATTCACAGAGAACTGGGCAGATAAGAGTATTAAGTTTTAAGGTTAGTATATATTATTATTAAAATAAGGTTCTACATTTATTATACATACATACATTGATGTGTGTACATAAGTATAAGCTTTAAATCTAGAGAGAAGAAAATAAAATAATTTTCAATCACAAACAATATAATATGTACTCGTATGTACCTTACTTATATGTTTGAATATCCTTATTTTTTTTTTGTATAATGCTACATATAGTAGAAAAAAAAATCAAATGTTATACGTTTTATTTATTTTATTTCAAGTTTTATCATTATAAATATTTAATAATAATGTTTTATATACTATTTTATTTTTAGGTTGGATTAATTTTACTATGTAAAGGACATTTGGAAGAGAAATATCGTTATTTATTTAGATTAATTGCTGATCCAGAACGTAAAGTGGACCAAAGAAAATTGGGTTTATTGCTACATGATTGCATACAGGTGAGTGAATTCAATTAAAAATTTGTTTATACTATTATATTATGTAATTTTAAAATATCTATATATAAATATTTGAATTAAAGTAATGAAAACAAATATTCAAAATTTAAGTAAATTTCTATGGAAATTTTATTGTTTCTAAATTTAAATAGAAATTAGGTCAATTGTTTCATGATTTAAGTATATTCAAATTGAGAGTATTAGGATATTATTATACATCATATATAAGTATATGTGATGCTAAGAAGAAATTCGAATGAAAAGGATTGTGGTACTTCATTCTTAATGTGGTTGCGAGTTATAAACGTATTTATAGTAAAATATTTAGTTTTTTACACTGTTTAATACAGAATCGGAAAAATTATTGTATTATTGTGAAGCTAGAATTTCTTTTAATATGCTTCAATTACATTGAAGTTCCACTTACAGTCCTTCCAACAATTTTTCATTTTGCTGTTAAGAAATTACCTAAAAGTTTTATTTAAGATTTGTTGTTTTTTCTTCTCCAACAGTTTGTTCTATTACTTTAAAAATCCAATTTTTACTGATTTTTCTTAACGTTTTCCACATTTCATAACCTGAAACAATAATTCATTTTACATCTTATTTTATATTTTAATTCATAGGAAATGTAAGAAGTACTTCGACAAATTATAATAATTAATTTCAATTCATTACATTACGGTTTACATTAAACTCAAATTAATTCTTAATTTATAATTAAGGATTATCGTATTTAATATTATCACTTAAGATTCCATTTAAATTCCCCACCACATAATATTAATCTAATTAACATTTTATTGTGCCAACATTTTTGTATCACTTTGTAATATATGTATACCAACTTTAAAAATTAAGGATCTTGTATAGTCAATTTACGTTTATATAAAAAAAAAATCAAATCCCAAATCCAATTGAATTTATAACAAGTATAAAATAAGTAAAACTCAATTAATCCTCTTTTTATTTTATACACGCAATATAAAATTAATTTAAATTTCTTACAATATATTTAGTCCTTACCATAATGTTTAAAATTTAAAACGAAAATTTAATAACAATTAAATAAAAACACACATAAAGCAAAATAACAAAAAAAAAAAAGAAATAATAAAAAAAATGAAAACAAAATTAATCCCCCAAAAGGGTTAACACTGAATAAATTAACAAAAAGTGATCGCGGTCTTTTTAAATGTGGAAAAAAAAACAAAGAAAACAACAAAAAGCGATTGTAGAATCTTTAATTTATTATAACGTTAATTTTTGTATCAAATAACAATTTATTTTCTTCTACTGTTTTGTATCCTATCATCTCATTATCCTTGATGTTATTCTGCTTTGTTTTCTGTCGTTATTTTTCTTTTGTTTGTTTTTCATGTTTTAAATGTCCTGATGGGAAAAATCTTTTTTTTTTTTTTCGTTATCATAACACATGCAATATTTTTTTTTTTTATAAACAATTCTCGATTATATCCCGAATCCTCTTTCACTTGTTTTGTATTGGTAGGGGGGTACCACCTCATATCTTCTGTTTGTGTTAGCGTTGTTTTTGGTTGATGTTATTAAAACTTTTTCTATATAGCACAAAATTGGTTAAAAACATTAGGATATCAAAACAATACTTTGTGTAAAAGACAAGTGCTTATAGCTTTTTTTACTGAAATGAAAAAACAAAATCAAAGTATTTAACCACAACAATAAAAACTGGAAAAATGAAGAAAAAACGATCTTTTAGCGATAAATTTTAGCCTTAAACAATTCCCACTCTTTCTTTTTTTGTATTCTTATATTCACAAAAAAAAAAAAAAAAACATTGAGATAAGCTGTTAAAGAATGGATAATTTCATCTTATGACATGATTTTGTGTAAGTGATACAAATTAGGCGGAAAACCTACAACATTATACATTATAAATTATAGAAACTTGAAAGTATATGCGAGCCGAAAACAATTAAAGTAATTTAAAATTAAAAGAAGAAAATGATAAATTAAACTTTTTGTAATGTTTTCTGATCTTTAACATCGATTGAAGGAAGTTTAAAAATGGCGACCTTTTTTCAGTACATTATTTATGCTGGTTTTTCTTACAATAATATTTTTTTTATATAAAATTTGAGGTGTAGTAATGAACTGGTCAATTGAACCATGTCATAAATATTTTATGCACAATATAGAGAAATATTCGAAAGTCGGTTCTACTGGCAAACTGAAATCCCAACAGCAATTTTTCCCTTCATTAGTTTGCATTATCGAGTACATATCTGTGTACTTTAGATAAACAGTTTGCATCATTCTCTTAAGTTTTTACAGTTCCTCTTCATTAGCCATGTTTTAAATTATAAGGATAACTAACAAGAGAGACAAAAGATGATTTAGAAGTTCCAAGAATAAAGCAAATGACCAAATTTAACATTTTTTAATCGAAAAGTCATTTTTCGATATTTTTTTCTTGTCCAAACAAGACTGATGCCTACTTATTGCCTCGGGACTTGAATGAAAATATAGGCAGAAAAAGTGAAGGAAAAGTAAGGCTAATAAATGCCACACCATATTTGTTTTTTTTTTTTGTCTTATGAAAAACAAAAAAGAGCAAAAAAATGTGTTAGTTTTTAAAGATTTATTATCCTTTAATATCCTTGGTTGAAAAGATTTTAAAAATGGAATTTGTTTTGTTGATTCTTTTGATTATCTTTATAAGAATTTCCTTTTTTTTTCCTGTATGGCTTCTGTTGATTTTCTGGTTATACAATTTTGAAAGCTCTATGGTTTTGTTTTTCTCTTTTTGTTTTGCTGGTTATGGTTCATTTCCTTTTTCAATCTGATAACGGTAAAGGATTATATTTAATGTTATAAAGAAGTGAATACAATTTCTTGCTTGTACAATTAAATTTTATTTGTGGTTTGGTTTTTTGCTGTCTATTTATTTTTATAACAGAGTAAATATGTCAAATATTTGTTTAAAAAAAAAATTTGTTCATATTTTAAAATAAAATGAAGAGTTGATGTTGCTAATATTGATTTAAACTTTACGATTAAATTTATACAAGTTGCATGTAAATTTTAAATGAACATATGTATGTAAGTGTGTACAAAAGTATCATTTAAAAAAAAACAAACTAACAAAATGTCATTTGAATTGAATTTTAGTTTTTTTTTCTAAATCAAAAATTTATACTGCATATTTCAACAGATAATGCAGTTTATTAAATCCCTTAACACATTCATGTCAGAACTGACTGTTTTGATAATTGGATAAATATTGATAATTGGCAGAAGTTAATCGAAATTTTTCCGAAACTGTCATGAATCATGGTCAAAACCATAATTGTTCATGGTTTTGTAATCATCAACTTCACTCACAAAAAAGTATCTAGTGCCACTTTTTAGACTCTTACAATTCGAACTTAAGTTCTTTTTAATGAGCTTCCAAATATTTGTAAACGCTTGTCTATGCTCCTATATCATTCGAAATATTTACCTCATTTAAAATTTATTAAATTTATTTAAAAAAAAAATAAATTTCCCATTGAATTTTAAACTTAAATTTTTTAAGAAATTTTTCTAAATTTTGAAATTCAAATTTGAATAATAAAATTTAAAAAATAAACAATAGAAATGTAAATATTTAAAAAAAAAATCGGTAGATCAAATAACTGTTTAATAATTCTTATTTACAAAGTTTATGTAAATATTTTATTTTAACAAAAACAGAAAAAAAAAGAAAATTACAATAATGAGAAAGCAATCAAAAGAATTTATTCTCTTTGAATTTACAAAAAATATAATAGAAATTTTGATTAATGAATTATTTCCATTCGAAAAATTCTGAACCATTATAATCCTTTACGCAGTCACAACAATAAGGCTCATTAACTGTTCCATAAACAAAAAATAAAAAAAAAAATTAAAAAAAAAAACAATACGAAATTGAAGAAATAAAAAAATTTTGTTTTCAACTTTTTTCCCCACGCTCAGTTTATTCTTTTGAAAAAGTTTTAAACAAAATCTCTTTTAATTGCAAATAATATTAACGTTCTATTGATACCATATAATAACAGGTTTTACGCTACATTACTTTGCAGTTACATAACAAACAACAATATTGATATTTTAATTTTGCTAACGAAGAAGTCGGAATTTAAATTTTTAATTTTATTATTCTGCAGAATTTTATTACAAAAATTTTCTAAAGAATATTTGAATTTGTTAAAATTTAAAATTATTTAGGGATCAAATTTATATTACCAGTGTAGTTAATTTAAATATTAGAATTAAATTGCCATTCTTCAAATCAAATTATGCCAAACAAAAATTTATTAAAGGTCACCTTAAATCAAATTAAGCCGACAAAATTTGTGTCGGAGTATTAGCTTCAATGATATTACCAAATTTAGTATGTAGTTAACATTAGTAGACCAAACTTAATTGCTGTAGAAAACAATCACTAACTCCTTAGAATATTAGCTTTCATTACCTAGTTATCATTGTATTTATAGTATTTTTGTTGATTAGCCGCACTACTTTCTTTTGATCATATACTGATTTTCAATTTGATTTTATTTAATTTTTCTATACTAAGTTTATAGACGATATGAGTATTTGCATTGAAATTCCAAAAATTTATTATTAATATTTCTATTACAAAATTTTCTTATTCCCTTTTGGCTCTAAATTATCATAATTATTTTTAATTTCTTTTATTTTCCTTACAATTTGAATCCAATTTGATTTGCAGACCGAAGAAATCAAAAGAATAAAAAAATATAAAATAAAAGCGTCAACCAATCCTTTTTTTCTCTCCTTATTTTTTAATTTTCATTGTTTTTCTTTTTTATTTTAATATTTTTATACCCACTTTTCATTTTTTTTACCCCTTTTCATATTATTACATTTTCACTCTCAATGAATCATTGAATAACATGGTGTTTAAAATGCTGTAAAAATTAAATAAATTTATTCAAGAAAAAAAAAAAGAATAAATGAAATAAAAGAAAAACAAAAAGGGTCTTACTCCAACCGAGAATCTCTAATGTTCATTCTCTATAAAATATCCATTTAAATACATGCATATAAGAATACATTTACATATATTTGGTCCATATTTTTTTATATGTACATATATACATACGTATATAAGCGAACAAATACGAATTTTCAATGTTTCATTCGTACTTCTTTTCTCTTTGTTCTCTCTTTCTTCCTGTTTGTTTTTGTTTTCTTTTCTAAGTTAAAATCACTCAAGGATAACGAAATTTGAATAAGTTAATTCTCGTTTACTTTTTAGCGTAACTTTTTTTATTCTTTAATACCGTTATATTTATATATTTGTATACCGTTAGATTTCTTTAACTTTTTCTTTTTATTTGTTTTTGAACTTTTCAATTCTTTACTTCTGCCTTTTTATTTTTTTCTTGTAAGGATACTTGTTCTTTTTTTTTGTGTTCGTTTTTGTTTTTATTATTCGTAACTCTTAAGTAATTTATATTTTTGAACTTTTGATCCTCTTAAACTAGAATAGAATAGAATAGGGAAAAAATAACTGTTATTGTTACTACTTTTTATATAAGTGATACTCTCATTTATTTTTTAAAGAAAATTAAAGGACTTATAAAGAGGTTTTCGATTTTTTTTAGTTGTTTTTGTTGTTTTAAAATAAAATATGATAAAATTTTCATAAAATACATTGAAAAATATAAAATATAAAATATATTAATTTTGAATAGGTGTTAATCATTTAACTTTGAATTTTTTTTTATAATTGCCTATAGGTTCCTCGACAGCTTGGTGAAGTTGCAGCATTTGGAGGTTCAAATATTGAACCATCAGTTAGATCATGTTTAGAAAGAGCTGGCATTTCACAAGATGGTAAGTTTATCAATATTGTATACATTTGGTTTTCTCATTTTTCTTTCCACAAAATAGAGCTCAAAATTGAGTTAATAATTATTAAAGTCATCGCCAACGTATAGCAGTGAAAAAATTATTTAGTATTAGATTTTTTTAATTAATTTTTAAAATTTCGCACATGTGCTTTTAATGTTTTAGTTAGTTAACTCAATTATAGCAGACTATTTAAAATATTATGTAAAGCTGTTTTGTAACAATGAACTTTTAAAATTAACAATAGATGGTTTGAAAATTTTCATTGATTCTAGTTTGAACAGAAAATCTTTAAAAATAAAATTATCAATTTATTAATATTCGCTTATAAATTTAGCTATTTGTAAAACAACTACTGCAAAAAGAGACAATTTATTTATTGTAATTATTTATTGCAATTAAAGCGATTCAAAAAAACAGGGATAAAAATAGAAAATATTTTGTAAAACATAAAAAATGGGTGTGTATATGTATGTGAATATGATTGTACTTCTATTAATTAAAAATAATAAAACTCATTAATTAATAATTGGCAAATTATCCTTATATTATTGTCCTTGTAGGAATTAAACATTATACATTGCGATAAAAATAATATTTTTCTGAAATATTTTATTAATTTGTTAAATAAAGTAAAATTACAAATATATATATGTACATATGTACAGACATATGAACATACAACAATACAAGTTGTTGTAAATCATTAAAAAGTTGGAAAAACAAATTTATCGATGCTTCAACAGATATCTTTTATCTAATTTTGGCAACAGAAAAGAAAGGAAAGAGAAAAAAATTTCTACGTAAAAATTTTTCCAGAAAAAAAAACGATTTCTTTGCTTCGATCACATCAAATTCTATCAATAACTTGTCCATTTCCATTAAATAAAAATGAATTTGTCACGAACTTTTTTACTAGTTATGCATTACTTTTGCCTTTTTAGTGCGTACACTCTCAAAAAAAATTTTATTCACCCCAAAAAAGCAAAAACTTTTCTTAGACTACTATAGAATTAATTGAGTACACAAAGTTAACGTTAATTTTCAATATAGGAACCAACTTTTTTTTTTGCTTCTAAATTGTGAAAATTTTTTTTCTTCTTAAATTGGTCTTGTTATTTTAACAAAATAGAAATAATCGAGAAAGACTTAAATTTCAAGTATTGCTGATACAACAACTTTGAGAAAAATACAAGTGGAATTGTTAAGGAAAAAATATTTTATTTAATGAAGACAGTTGAATAATATGCAGAGAGTATAAAGAATTCTAATCAATTTAATGATTGATGAGTACTGAATTTTACACTTAAATTGAATTGAAGGAGCCCACAATTAAGAAGGACGGTATATGAATATATATATAAAAATATATAATGACCTAGATATTACATAAGAAGAAAATTGAAAAAAAAAAAAGTTTTATTAAAACTATTACGAAAATGACATCTTTTGGAATAATTTGAGAATTAAACAGAAACGTTAATTAATTTCTGTTCAATAAACCTTTATAAGCAAATTAACTAAATAAATGAATGAATTTTACGCTATTTTCCTTTTAATTTTCCTTTTTTTTTCTGCTCAACCCAATTTATATAAATAATGTTATCCATCTTCCTTTATGTCCTTTAATTTCCGCCCACTCTTTTTTCCTTCTTTTAGGTCATTCATTCTTTGGTCTTTAATTTGTTTTTTTTTTTTTTCATTTAATTTTGTCTGGGACATAATAATAATATTCTTTATTAAATTAATCATTGTGTATATAAAAATTTGTCTAATGGAAATTATGTTATAAAAGAACACATTCATTAAGCTAAGAAGATCATAATATAATAAATTATACGTGCATACATATATGTATATAAATAGTTATATGAATATACTTGTATGTGTCATATAAATGAAAATGTGTTTATTTTTTGTATATGCTATGTATATACATACAATAAGATTCAACTGAAATAGAATTAATATGTCACTAAAGATTTTTCTAATTTATATTTAAAAAACAAACAAGACTAAGTATAGTTTCTTCGTACAGTACACTTTATTAATTGTACAACGTTTTTGAAAGTTTTCAAGTTTAATATTTATCAGCTAATTTAAATCGGTTTGAGAAAAATGTTGAAAATAAGTAAATTTTTATTTAGATTTTCATGAAAATTTGTTTGTCCGAAGGATTAATTAAGTGGCTTCTCTAAATTCATTTATGATTTTCATATTGTAGGCTTATGAATCTCATAACAATCATGGCCTAATTTTTTTCCTTATTTAATATTTTGCTATCATAAAATGTCGCACAAATTTATATTTAATAAGAAACTATATCCTGAATCACTTATATAATTTTGAGATAGAAAAAAAAAATTTCTTTTCATTCCTTTATACCCATACAGTTGGTAAATTCCGACATAAAAGAACAATGTGGAAAAATGTTAAGGAGGATAACATTAAGTTTGTGTTAATCACATGGTCATAAAAGAAAAAAAAACCCATATACAGACACTTACAGGACAAAGAAACAATAAATTGGATAACTTATTCCTTAGTAACATAATTTTACGGACATTTCTGGCATACTTTTTAGTAATCAATTTAAAAAAAAGAAAAGAAGTATTGCTTTAATACGAGTACCGAGCATTTTGCAAAACTGTACTATTAAAACTGTAGTAAATGAAATTAAGGAACAATATCATATTTTTGACTGTAAGACACTTACTAGTGACGTTTTATATTTATAAATGAAACGAATTATAATAAAAGAATTAAATAAATTTGCTTTAAAAAAAACTTTATACTAAGGGTAATTTTCAAATTTTCAAAAATATTTCATATAATATAAGACGACATGAGTCATGTGTTGTTCACATCAAATTTTTTCTTTATAATAAATAAACAAAAATATAAAATTAAGAGAAAGAAAAGATGAGGACTTATGGGAATTATTTTAAAGAACTTCTAGAATGTAAACACTATTCTATATATGACCTTCCAATTATTCTTCGCAAATACATATACATACATATATTCTACTAGCAACATGAATATTGCGAATTTTTTTAATACAATCACGTAGTTATTTAATATTTTGCTTTCAGAGAATTCTATTGTTATAAAAAACACTTTTTTTTTTTAAATCAAAGAACATATTGAATAATGAATTAAATAAAATGTACATGATAATTTAATTAACTTATAATATTTTGATTTTTAAAATTTATTTTGAAATTAATTGAAACAAAGCACAAAAAATGGGTTTTTTACAATTTTAAGGACATTAGTAATCATTTAGTTAACATACCTATAGAAAAATGTAGATTTGGCTCTTTGTAGAGTTTTGTTTTGTGACATCAGAAAGCCCTGAAATGCTCGCCAGTTAGTTTTGATAACAATTAGAACTCGGTTATTTCCCTAGATATAGTGAAAATGTAAAATCGGCTCCTAGTTCGGTTTCCGAGCCCTGATGTTTGAATTTTAAAGTTGGTTACCTAAAAATATGCAATATTTCATTGCTTGATTTTGATAAAATATTATTTTTTGTGTGAAATTATTTCAAATATTTTATTTAATTTTAATTAATTTTTTTTTTATAATTTTAGTTGTTCAAGATGGCAATCAAGAAATAACCATTGAAGCACAACATTTTCTTGGTTGGTTACAACATGAACCCCAAAGTTTAGTATGGCTTCCAGTTTTACACCGATTAGCTGCTGCTGAAAATGCCAAACATCAGGTACATAATTTTAAACAAAAATGTTACAAAATCTTTCAAGTTAATTTCTATACTTATGATTTTTAGTACTAAAATTTTTGATTTTACTTTTAAACATTAAGTATAAAATAATAATTAGGAATAGATATAGTAAACAACGTATACAAAACTCTTCAAATTTTTTTATTTCTTGTTAGTTTTTCTCTTTTGATTATTTGCACTTCCAAAATGAGTTATGACAACTTTTCTTAACTATATATACTTTTACTTTTGTCTTACATTATGTCACGTTTCAAATACAATTTTCAATAAAGTTATTTACAATCAAAGAACAATGCCAAAATATCACGTACACTTAAAAAATAAGAAATTGACAAATAAAAATATTGGTAGAAAAAAATGTTAAAGAAATAAATCCTTATCCTTTTGTTTAATTTTTTTTTTTACAGAAAATATTTTGTATTTTCGTTAATATCAACCTTATTTATCTTGAAATTTTCTCTATATTTTTCTCTCTGCTACATTGTTACTTAGAATTGAATCGTTCCATAAAGTAAAACTAAAAACACTCTTATTTATTAAACAATATACGAACATAAACAGCTGTATACATGCATACTATATTCATATACTTGTATTTCGTAAATTAAGTTCGAAAATCGATTTGCATTTGATTTTGTAATATGTTTTTATTCTTGCAGGCGAAATGCAACATTTGTAAAGAGTATCCAATAATTGGATTTAGATATCGCTGCTTGAAATGTTTCAATTTTGATATGTGCCAGAAATGTTTCTTCTTCGGTCGTAATGCCAAAAATCACAAACTAAGTCATCCAATGCATGAGTATTGCACAACGGTAAGTAATTTATATTTATACTCTACATGCAAATACTATTTTGATAAATTTTCAAAAGGACTTGATAGAGAAAAGTAAAATTTTTTAGAAAATTAAATTATTTTGAAATTCACATGCTATTCGATTAAATCAATTTATAAATAAGTAAATTATATTTGCTTTTCTAATTTTTTTTTAAATTACTCTTCGAATATAATAAATTTAACAAAATTGGATTGGAAAAATAAAATAATTAAAATACCTGCAAAAATCAAAATTGAAAATGAAATAAATGATACTCAACTGAAAAAAATTTAATTTTTAACTGAATCAAATCAAATGGTAAATTGTTTAATGAAATAACATCAAATAGACGACATCAACTGAAGATGTTCGTGATTTTACCCGTGCACTCAAAAATAAATTTAAAAGTAGAAAATATTTCAAAAAACATCCTCGAGTTGGTTATTTGCCTGTTCAAAGTGTATTAGAAGGTGATGCACTTGAGAGTCCAGCACCTAGCCCACAGCATACAACACATACATTACAAAATGATATGCATTCCCGTTTAGAAATGTATGCATCACGTTTAGCTCAAGTTGAATATGGTACAGGTTCTAATTCAACGCCAGATAGTGATGATGAACATCAATTAATAGCACAATATTGTCAAGCATTACCAAATAATGGTACTGGACCAAAAAGTCCAGTACAAGTAATGGCAGCTATGGATGCAGAACAACGTGAAGAATTAGAAGCTATAATACATGATTTAGAAGAAGAGAATGCAACATTACAAGCGGAATATGAAAGATTAAAATCGAAACAAACACCTAGTACAACACCCGATGAAAGTCAAAATAATGCAATACCAAGCGGTGGACAGGGACAGGTAAATAAAATATAAAAGTTTTAAAATATTTTAACAAAATAATGCTTATACTATTTCTTTCTTTAAATATTAAAAACAAAAAAAGGATATGATGGCTGAAGCCAAATTATTGCGTCAACATAAAGGACGTTTAGAAGCAAGAATGCAAATTTTGGAAGATCATAACAGACAATTAGAAGCACAGCTACAGAGATTACGTCAATTACTTGAAGAACCAAATAGTGCTGCTCATAAGCCTTCAACACTTCAAACAAGATCAGTGACAGCCTCACAGTTAAATACTGAATCACCAGCAAAAATGCAACAAAATGGTCACTACGAACAGAATACAAGTGAGTACATTGGCAAATTATAATACAATGTATTTTCTTTCAGAAGACGGGTACAAAATTGAATAAAACGATTGAAAATTTAAAAAATTTTAGTTTTTCGGAAGCGTAACGTTCAGTTATTCTATACTTTCACATTATTGTTCTGTTATGAAATGCTGATTTATACCAAAACTCAAAAATGCAATAACATGCAAACATATGGGATAAAAATTTTAATCTGTTTTTCGTCGCTCTTCATTTAATTTTAAATATTTGTACGAATTTTTATTTTGTTAACAGATTATAAACAATTTCCAATTGTGTAACTCGAATTTTTTCTGGAATTCATGGAATTTCGCAATTAAATTCTAAAATTTAACAAAACTTTTTGGATATAAAGCACATACATACATGGTGTAATTTATTCAAAAATTTGTTATATTTGTTGTAATCAAAATGATGAAAAATCCTTATTTATAATGTACAAGCTCCAGACATGGATTTAAAAGAGTAAAATTATTCATAAGATTATATAAAAATTTATATGGTTACAAAAAAAAAATAAAAAATGGTGAAGGCAGAATGAATTTCATGAAAATTCATCAAGTAAATGAGCTTATTTCAGTAGAGAAAAGAACTTAGTAAACTTAGGAAAAGTAAAACAAAAATGAATACTCGGCTGATCAAATTTCTCAGCACTTGAAAATTTTACGATGTAAATACGAAGAATTCGAGTTTTTAATAAAATGCGGAACTATTAAAATCAACCAACGGCCCTTTCTATAACCACAAAATAATTTGAAATTAAAATATAAACTAATAACTACTAAAAACTTTAAACATTTTGCCTTATGAACAATTATTATAATTTTATTATGAGTGCCTATTACAGATTATAAGCCTTTATTATATTCTGTAATAGGTAGTCACTCGCTTTTCTCAAAATTTTGAAAATGCTTTTCATTTAATTTGGAAAGTATTGTATAATTTCAACGAAACTTTAAATTTTTTACATACATACATTTAAAGATCAACAAAAAAAAAAAACTATCTGTGCTTGTTTACCTAATCTAATGAAAAATTCAATTTATTTTGTTCTTTCGCTATCTCTTTCTTACATATTGTAAAAGTTATTTTTAAGTATCTGCGGTACACTGTTACGTTAATTAATATTAACGATATGGTTTATTGTCGTATGTACAAATGTGCAATTCAAAATGACATTTTCAACAACAAACAAAAAATTTAAAATGGCTCTTCTTGACTTCGATATTGTTATAAATTTTTTTTTGTTTTTTTTTTTAAAAACTTATTTATTTGATTTATTATTTTGAAAATTTATGATGAAAATAATCCCGAAAAAAAAATTAACACAAATTTTGTATGTATGTACACACACCTTTAATGTTTTATAACAATTTACATTTAATTAAAATCAGATGGTATCGGTGGTATGCCACCTACATCAATGCACAACAATAGTGGTGGAGGTCCTGGTATGGGTATTACAGGTGTTAATGAATTACATAATGGTGGTAATAAAATTGGTTTAACATCAATTGGTGGTGGTAACACAGGTCTAATGGGTAACATCAATAATCCAAATTCAACAATGGTCGGTCATAATATAATGAATTCAACAACAGGACCATTTATGGGTGATGATGGTCGCCCACCACCACCACCACATTCAAGTCTATTACATATGGCTGGTAATAATATAATGCAATTATGAAACCAAAACAACTAAAATAAAAAATAATAAAAATAATTAAAAAAAAATGTAATTGTGTGATATGCTTTTAACATGAAGTGAAATGTTATGTAATTCATTAGAAAGTTTATAATTTTGATTTTTTTATTTACATACATACATGGATGTGATTTATACATTTATTTTTAGTTTTATTATTTTAATTAACATATTTTATGTTTTACACTTTAACAATAAAATATTTTCGTATTTATATTGAATTTTTGTATATTTTTGCAATTAAACAAATTAAATCACAAATTAAGAAACTCTTATACATGTTTATTAAGCCAATGGGAATAGAATAGAAAATATAATAAAAATAAATTTAATTAGCATATACATAAATTAAAAATGTGCGAATTGTTTTGAAAAATTCTAAAATCTGTTTTATTACACCTTATTTTTCAATCAAATTGAAAATATGCATATATTATGAAAAACTTGTATGTTTTCAAAAAATTAATATAAAATTATTTTTGAAATTGGTATGTTATCCAGATAGCAGCTTATTTCTACCAATTTACTACAATATGATTCTATGTTGAACAATTCTAAAAATTCATTATTATTGAAAAGAACACATTTTTTACCGAAATTTTATTCAATTAATTTTATATATTAATAATAAAACATGACTTTTCATAATGTAGAAAATCAATTTTTTATGCATATTATAAATTTTATTATAACACAATATTGATTATGAATAATTTTTATACGAAATATGAAATCTTATTTTAAAAGGTAGAGCCACCAAAAATAAAATTATATTAAAAAAATTTTTTTCATATCATTCAATATTTTTTTTACAATATGAAACGTTTGTAAGCAAATTATTGAACAAATTATGACTAAGCAATTATTCGTATTTTACAGTTAATTAACTTTTTCATTAATATTTTTATTATTTAATATTGTAACCTTTTTTTTTTGTTTTTTTGGTTTTCAACTCGGTTCAACTTAACTTTAAAGGCGTATCGTTTATTAAATTTTATAGGAAAATAAAAAGGTCTTTCTCTTTTCACTTACTTGCTGAAGGTTTGGCGTTACTAAAAGAACAATTTGTTTTCGGTTGTTAATTATGGCCTAATTTTCACACTTTTATATAAAAGAAAACCGAACCAAAAAAAAATAAAAAATTATCAGTAAAAAGTAGATTTTTTTTTTAAAGTTTTTTTTTTTTTTACACCAAATTTTCTGAGTTTTTTTTTGATATATAAAACGGAAAAGATTATAAAAAATTTTTTATTTAAAATTTTTTTTTCTTTTATTTGAGAAACCGGAAAAAAATGTACATATACATTGATTCATATACAAAATATAAAAAAAAAATGCAGTCTTTTAATATCTTTTTTTAAGGCTTTTAAATATTGAAAGTTTTTTGTATGGTATATCCTTTAAAAGGGATCATTTTCCCTAATTTGATTATATTTTGTTTTTCTTTCTTTTCTTTTATTTTCGCTCAGATTATAATAAGGGTTTATAAAATATAACGATTTATACATTTTTCTTTTTTTTTATTTCATATTTTTTAATATTAGTTTTTACTGTAAATATTTAAATTTTTTTTTTCTTTTATGTATACGAATTTATATTATTTGGTTAAACTTATGAATACAAGAATTTGTTGTGAATGAAAAAATTATAAAGTTATTTCAGAGACTCAAACCATTACATTTGAAATTATGCTGATTATAAATAAGCCAGCCTACGGCTATCAACAGAAAATGATATGAAACTGAATATGGGACTGTTCTAATAGATTAGACAAAAATATTCAAAAAGCATGTCTTTTGTTAAATCCTGTTATAGCAAAAAATTATGCTTACTTTTTTTAACAAAATAAATTGAGGTTCGAATTAGCTGTTGGATGCTGAATGCAAATTAAATATGATTAATTTAATAAAAACTCATACTTTAAAATATTGAACATTTGAAATTGACAATGAATATTAACTGGAATGACGATTTTTCCAATCAAAGAGTTAAAATTTATAAATGTTCTAGAAATTTTGTTTTACATTTTATACAATTTTATTATTTAAACAATTAATATGCCAAATTATGTAATATTTAATAGCGACTTATATAAAGATTTTCAGTCATAACTAAAGCACTAAAACTTTTTTAAAATATTCTTAACAATATTTAGTTAGCAAGTAATCAATAAAAAAAGTGAGGTTCTAATGACTTAAATCTACTTTTATTTGTAGTATGCAATCGTTTAAATAATGCAATATTTTTTAGAATACTATGCGTTCTATATGCAAATACTTTATACGCAATTGAACGTAGCAATTTCATATCCATAAATGGTTTGACTCTCAGCTTTAATTTTACATATATTTTAAATATTTGAATGTAATCGTTATAATAAGAATAAAAAAAAACTAAAATGTTGTTTTTAATACAAAAAAAAAAATACTAACAAAAAAACTCAATTAACATTTTTGCTTTTCTTTTTTCGCCCTTTATTTTCTTCTTTCCCCCCAATTCTTGTTCTTTTATTCTTTTTTATTTGGTTTAATAAAATGCTGTCTATCTCTGTCATTAAATGCTTGTGCTGGCCTTTTTTTATATTCATATGAACAACTAACATCACCGCAACTTTTCACGAAAAAAAAGGACGAATTTAAATGAATAAAAATGAAACAGAGTAACAAGACGAGAGGATACAAAATATAAAGGAAAAAAAAGGAAATTAAAATAAATTAAAAAGAAAAAAAAATAAAAATGAAAAAATGGTAAAAATTTTAACTGAGATTTTTTCCTTTACTTTCTTTTGTCAATTCTGTAAAGATTTTTTTTTTTTTTTTTTATTAAAGGATCATTCTTTATTTTTTTTTTATTTTTATGTCGGAATTTTTTCATTATGATGTAATTTTATTTTTTTAATGCCTTTTTTTTTAGTTTTTTATTTCTGAGTCGAGAAAAAAAAAATTTTTTTTTTCTTTTTCTCTTCTTGTTGTGAAAATTTTATTTTTAGTTTTATTTAACTTCAGTTTTTAAATAAGTTACTTGATTTTAAATAAATTCTTTAGAAAAGTAATTAAGCCTTTTAAAAAATCATTTTTATATACTATTTATTTAAAAACTATATAAAAAAATTAGTCGAGATTGCCCTCCAATATTTTAAATTTGTGTTTCTAGGCTTAAAACTTTCCAGCGACTTTATTTTTTCCCCAAATTCGACAAGATATTTTTCGTTCCTAATTCAACCAAGTTTAACATTTTTAATTAAAGGAATTTATATTAGAACTTTGAAAAAAAGCCAAAACATTAGAATTTTTAGCAACCAACATTCAAAAGAACCATATTTCTTAATATTTAATTTTTTATATTCATACATGCATACTTTTGTTTCAAAGTCTTATACGATTAAAGTGTGTTATACTTGAGGAAAATGAAAAACCAAACTTCATTTAAATTTTAACGATTTCTCCTTTTATATTTTTGTATTTTCAAAAAAAATGGATAGATCCAATTTACATTACCGGAAAACAAGATTCAGTAACTTAAATTCTTCGCATTTTATTTTTATTTTTTATATTTTATTCTAGTTTTCTATGCTGAACTTGTTTCAAGAACTTAATTTAAAAAATTTATTTGCATAATTTAACTGCAGTATTCAATACGAATGAAGATTAATAATATTTTCGTTAAAAAAATTAAATTATTATTTAAAAAATTTCCCTTTTTGTTCTGACCCAAAATTCAAAATATCTCTCAATTATTTCTAAGAAGAACTTTCTTTAAAAATGTTTAGAAATAAGATAAAAATATTATTTCAAAATTTTAAAAATTTAATAGAAAACCAATTTTTTTTTTATTAGCATACTTAATGTCATATTTAAAATTTAAAATAACAAAATTAATCAGTAGAAAAAGAGCTCAACTAAAAACTCAAAGAAATTTTTTTTTTTTAATAAAAAAACCAAGACTCAAGAGTATAATTTAGTCAAATTTTTATTAAAAATCATAATATTCAACTGCTTATAAATTTCTTTTTTATTGCTTGAAAATATAGATGTAATAGGAAGTCTACTGGTTTATTTATTTTTTTTACGATGGTGCTTTATTCTTATCATAAACTAATTTTAATTAAAAGAAAATATTTTAAAATATTCAGTAGGACCCGGTAAAATTTCTTTATTCAAACTAATTTTTTAACTGAAAATTGTATGCTATAAAGATTATATTAAAAATCAAAAAATTCAGTTATATAATCAATTACCAACTTCTTATAGCTGACTTCGTTATAAATGAACAATAATTTATTAATTATTTTCGAATTCTTTACTTTATAAGATCAGTGTCATATTACATTTAATGTTTTTTTAAATTTTGTAATATTAAACATAAACTATGTATATCGAAACAGAAAAAAATATTCTAGAAAAGGCTATTTGAAGTTTCAAAATGAAAATTGTGAGAAATCTCGGTAGCTCCAACCGAACTCGAATCACTCTATCGATTTGAGGTAAATTAGCACCTACTTCAATATATTAAAAGAAACTTGTATTCAAAAATTTATACGTATTTTAATATTATATAAAATGAATAAGTGAGCATTGTATTTACAAAAATTTTATTTGTTAAAACTCAAAGCTGAAAATTATATCTGATAAATAAAATTAGCCAACCCATGATGAAATAAATTAAGTTAAAATTTTACTTAACCAAAAAAGGTAACCAACGCCTATAATTATGCTTGTTTTCGTTTTTAAATATTTCATTAATTTTAATTTAAAAAAAAAATTTTTTTTTTTTACGTTTTCAGTTTATTTTTTAATGTTGTTGTTTGATTTACCCTAATTTGATATCGTTTATTTTTCTAAAATAAATTATTTATTTAACAAAAATATTAAATTGTTATTATAATAATTGTTATACAAACATTTCTTTTTTCCTCCCTCTCTCAAATCTAGGTGATATCGGCCGTGCTGTCGAAGAACTAGTAACTGTTATAACTGAACAAGAAATTGAACAAAACAATGGTAACAATAATATTAGTAATAATGGTATAAATAGTAATAATGTAATTAAAAATGATGGATCAATAAAAAAAAGTATATCAAAAGCAGATTAGAATAAAAATATAACAAAAATTATATAATTAATTTGAAAAGAATAAACAACAAAAATAAAACATAATTATCTATATACATATACAGATAAATTTACTACTTAAATATTGAAAAAAAAAAAACAATTTTTTTTGGATATACACATACACATATATACATTCATAATGTGCGCATATTTATAAAATTTAAAATATGAAAATTTTCAAAAAATAAAATTGAGCCCTATTACAAAATTTGTTTATATTAAAAAATAAAACAAAAAACAAAAAAGTAATTATATAAAAATTTTAATATTAAAATATATATACATATACAATTAATAAAATTAAGGAAGAAAACAAAAAAAAAACAAAAACCCTTTAAAATATTAAAAAATTTAAAAATATAATTTTGATATTCCAAATTTTTAATTAAACTTAAGTAAAAACAAAAAATAGACATGTGTTTATTTTAAAGTTATATAATGTACTATTTTATTTTATATAATACGTTTCTATTAATATAATATAATTTTTAAAATTTTGAGACCTACATATACATATATATATACATATTTTTAAAATATATATTTTATTTTGAAAGTTAAGTTCATTAAAACTTAACCATAGTCGAAAGACCACGTCATTGTTGTAATCAATGTTATATTTTTTATTTATATGAATATTTTTCTTTTTTAAATAAAATGGACAACTCAAATATAAATTGGAGTGCAAAAATAGATAAAAAGAAAAGTTCAAATTTTTTCCTTCTCAGAATTGGTTTCAAACCCAATGATTTGACTATACACGTTATTTCTTACTTTATTTTCATAATAATTGAATGAAATCAATTAAACTAAAAAATTAAACCTTCTGCAGTTAAAATAATAAATAAAAATTGAATATAATTTACAATTTTTAAAAAACGTGTTACATTTTAAAAATTTCAAATTTTTAGACTTAAGTTTAGTTAAAAATGAATTAATGTTAATTCAAAAATTTAAGTTTAAAAATTTACTTTGTAAATTATTTTTACACTTTAGAAATACTCCTGATAAGCTAAGCTAACAAACATTATAAAATAAATGTATGAGTTATCTAACAATTTTATATTATTTATTTATTGAGTCCCAACATAATTTTGTCCAATTACAATAACCATTCTCAAGAGAATGTATAGACTCTTCTTTTTAATTTAAACCTTCTTCAAATTAAATTTTAAATCTATTATGGCATTGATTACTGACTAAGATCTACTTAATTCAATTTTAATTTTGAATATATTATAGCTAAATAGAATTCAGATAAAAAATTATTAATTTCTTATATTTTCTGTTAAAACTATGTTTAAAAACTTTCATTAATTTTTGTTTTGTTAATTACAAATTCAGTCATTAATTTTATTATTACACATTTTTTTTTTATTTTCGCACAAAATGAAATTTAATTTAAATTCTTTATATCTAATTATAGAGGAAAAACTATGTTTTAAAATTTATAAATAATTTACACATTTAATGCATAAAATTAATTATATATAAAATTATAATAAAAGAAAAAGTAAAAATATTAAAATTTTAATTTCTTTATTTTAATTTTTAAAATTTTATTTTTCATGTATAAAAAATTATTTTATTTTTATGTTCTATTATTATTTTTATTTTAATTAATTAAATATTATTATTATTATTATTGTAATTCCTCGATAATAAAATTGTATACAATAAATTTTAAATAACAAAAAAAATATAATATAATTTTTATTTAAATAAACAGAAAAAAAAATCAAATTGCTTAATTTCTTTTATTTTGATTTTTTAATTTAATTTTTTTATTTTAGTATTTCTATTTTTATTTAGCGTTTGGAAAATTTGGAAAATTAATAAAACAATAATTTATTTTCTTTTTGGAAAATCATCACAAGTACGTATATTTTTTATTTAAAACTCTTATATATGATAAAAAAAATTAACCAATATGAAAATTTAAATAATTATTTCCAAAAATAAATTAAAAAAGAAAGGAGTAAATTAATGAAATTAATAAAATAGATAGTAAATCTTACAAAAGACGAAAAAGAAAAAACAAATACAAAGAAAAATTAAAATTTAAAATCTTATGGTGCAAACAAATAAAAATTGAAAAACAAAACTATAAATAAATATTTAATACGATTATATAATTTTACATAATTTTTATCCTATTTACTTCTAAAACAAAAAAAAACTTAAAATTTTTAAAATTATAGATGAATATACATAAAATATTCAAATTGGATCAGACAATACAAATACAAAACGAAAATATTAAATAAAATAAAAGATATAATTTATATGTGAAAAATAGTGTAACCAGTAATATTGACAGTAGATTCAACTTTTCGTTATGCAATACCTCGGAGTATGATAATAAATTAATATCACTTAATTACGGCTGAATATCAGCTATATTAGATTTTTTTCGCGTAAATGATTCTTACTGACGACAGAATTCCATAAAAAAATTAAAAGCATAGACCGTATTATATAAAATCTGTTAAAGCAATGAAAAACATATTTAGCGTTATTCTTCTAAACAGAGAATTTTATGCTGCTAAAGTTTTCTGAATTAGAATAATGTGAAATGAATTAGACAAATTGCAAATTTATTAAAACAGAACAGCTTGTTTTTAATTAAAAACATAAGAATTGAGATGATATATTGGTTTTAGGCTTTCTTTTAATTTTTTTTATGAAAGAATTTTTCAGAAATTTGAACTTTGAGGCCTAAAAATGCTTTTTTTTTTATTCGTCTGGACGCATTCTATTCAATCAAAATATTCAATATGCCAAACTTATTATTTTTTTAATTTTTTTTAAAAAAACTCTAAAGGAAAATTATTTAATTTGAAAATAAAATAAATGTGAATGTATTTTTAAAAATATTTACCTAGTTCAATTAATAAAGGCCCCACGGATGAATTTTTAAGTTGAAGATTAAGATTTGTATATTTTATGTATTACAGTTATGTAGGCAATATTATATAACCGTACGTACGCATTACCTATAAATATTTTATTGACAATTTTTTAATCATTATCATACTATTGTAGCTCTATGTAGAATATCTTACGATATTTTAGCATAGAAATAAATCATACAATAAATATGTTATTAAAGATAATAAAGATTTTAAATAGCATTTAAAATAATTTACATATCGTAATCGTGTAATAAATGGAAAGTCATAATAATTCTTACTAATTTTCATCTTCAACCAAATAATTTTGTTGTATTCAAAAATTTTCCAAAGAAAGTTGAAAAAAATATCTAAATAATATTGTTCAATTTACTTGTTGCAAAATAATTCTTATTTAATTCAAATGAAAAATTTATTAAATATCAAATTTAATAAACAATTTCATTCAAAACGATTTGGATTGGAAAATAAAAAAGAAAATTATAATATAAAAAATTTCTTAACAAAAAGAATTACCTAAACTTCTATATATAAATAAATTATAATTAATAAATTAATTAACTAATTTTTAGTATACTTACTATATATACCTATATATATATATAAAATAAAATAATTTATAATATTAAAATAATTAAAAATAAAATAAAAATTGGTCCAATTAATTGAATTTTTTTTTTCTTTTTCTAGGAAAAATTTAAATTTAAAAAATAAAACTTTTCTGACTTTTATATCACAGATTAATCAATAATTATAATTATTATTAGTAAAAAAATAAAATAAGTAATAAATTCAAAACTTTTCCCAACGCTTTTTTCATACTCTACATATTAATAATAATAAAGTAATTCTATTAATAAAATATAAAATAATTGAAATTATAATAGTAAAATGATTAAAATATAATAAATAAATAATTCTATAAATATAAGAGTTGAAAATTAAATTTATAATTTGATATAAGAGAAAAAAAAATGAAAAATTTAGAATTGATTTAGTAAATAAACAAATAAAAACAAGGAATGAAAAATTACGAAAATAAAAATAAACGTTTTTAAAACTAAATAAAAATTTCCAAAATGAAGAACAAAATACCATAATGTAGAATTTTACATATCGTTACTTACTTAAACATATTCAAAAGATAAAATCATAAAATATATATAAAAAAAAATTCAAAGAAACAAAATTAATTTTTTTTTTTATATTATATAATTATATAAAATAGTTAAGAATAAAAATATCAAAAACAAAAACAAAAGTATCAACTTTAAAAACATTTAAAGTAGGTTAATAAATTATTACAAATATTATATAATGTACATGTTTATATAAAAATTCCAGATTCTTATATATACAAAAGTACGTTATAAATGGAAATACGCAGTATACATATATATACATATATATTATATATTTATAAACAACATGCGTATAAAAATAAATACAAAAATATAAAGAAGATTTTGAAACCAAAACCACTAATTAGACAAATAATATTGAAAAGTAAAAACGGAATATACTTACATAATAATTATTATATAGTGAAAAAATAAATAAACGAAAATAAATAATTTCAGATAATAATTATATTAAAAAAGAGAAAACTAAATAAAAATTTAATATAAATTTGTTTAAACAATAAAATAATTAATCAGAATAGCTAATAAAATAAATTTATATAAGTTAATATTAAAAATACAAAACTCTAATATTACAAAATATAAGAATATTGTAAAGTGATATTGAAAAGCAGTGTTGTTTTTTTTAAAAAATTTAAATTTCCTAATTTCTTATAATAAAAATTCTTTGTTTTATTTCAAAACCAGTTTAATAAATTCTAATTACCAATAATATAAACAAAAAAGAATTGTTCAAATTCCAGAAATTTCCATTAACGTTAATGTTTTAAAGATCTGAAAAGTCCACTTTAAAAATAAACAAAACAATGAATTAATAGAAATTTTAATAATAATTATGTTCCTTCTTATTAAACCCTCATTAAAACCTCTGTTGATTAATGATGCAAAAGTACGCATCATTAGCCAATAAAGTTCAAAACGAAATAATTTCGAAGCACCGACCAAACTTACTTATTTTTCAACCCATATTTTCCCCCTGTCAAGAACATTGCTTCTAAATTTTTTTTCTAATACAAGAATATTATTAAATAAAATCACTTTACAAAATTTTGCCAAAAAAAAAAGAACAAACAAAAAATCGTAGCAACTTCATTGAGAAAAACTAAAATATTTTTTATTTCAATTCTATTTACATTATAAAATTAAATTTAATTCTCCTAAACTTATGCAAAATAATAAAAATAAAGAAAAATATTTCAACAATAAAAATTTAATAATGAAAAAACCGAATCGTAGTTTACCATCCATTCTCCTCCTTTTTGTATTTTTACATCATAGTGAAAACAAATTTATATTATGCAAAATACAAAAAAAAAAAAAAATTAATTAAATTTTTTTAACTTAAAAATTTTTGTAAGATATTTAATAATTTTTAATTTTATTACTATAATGTTAGTATATAAATATGTCTATAGAATTTTTTTTTTGTATTTATTAATGAATCAAACATATTATACATTGCATATTAAACTATACAATCAAAATCAAATTTAAAAAAAAAAAGAAAAGCTACAAAACGAATTAGTTTATTGTAATTATTGTTATATATGTACATACATATATATTATATATGTATATCAGAATTATTAACATAAATATAATTTTTAAGTAAGAAGTTTTATTTACAATATTAAAAAAGCCAAACAACGGTAAATTAATAATAAATTTTTAAATTTTTTTACTAAACTAACAAAAATATTATGATATAAATTAAACTGCCTAAATTTATGCAATTTTTTATTGCTTTTATATGTTTTGCAAGAAAATCAAAATGAAACTAATGAAAATAAAATACCAGTGATTACAAAACTGTCCAAACAACTTGATTTAAAAAAAAAAAATAGAAAAAGTTTTAGTTGTAAACGATTTTTCTACAATAATTTTTTTTAACTACTTATGACACAATTAATGACTTATACAAATATTTAATACAAATAACAAAAAAAAAACTTTGTTACTGTCATCTTTTTTATTTACAAAATGATGTATAACTTGAATTAACAAAAAATTTTATATTCATTCCAATAAAGAAGCTTATATTGTGCATAAACTAAAAAGATTCAGAACAAATTTTCAAAGTTTTATCATAATATTTCATTCGCCTTTAAACCTAGGTAATCACATAATATATATTTTAGTCTATGAAATAATTTTTCTAATAATTCAAACTTTCTTTCATGTTACAATTTTGTAATAGTCCAAATTCAATTTAAAATTAAATATTTGAAACATTTAATAAAAGTAAATTTAGCAAGTATACCAATAATTTTCGAAATGCACAATAAGAAGTTAGGTTTTCCGTTTTTCTACTCCCTTGCTCATTTTTAATTTTAAATATATCAAAATAACCATTTATTTTTTGTCAACATGAAATATATACATTATGTACAGTTCCAACTATATATTTTTGAAATATTGTCACAGTAACATGCTTACATATATCATAAATTAGAATATATATTTGCAATATAAATATCATACATATTATATTTTCGGCTTGTTGATAAATAATAAATTAACTAAATGAATTCAAATTGTTAATTAATAAAAATTATGAATATATTTAAAAAAGACAAAATATTAAACATTTAATAAAATGACTTTAGTGAATTAAGAAAATATTTAAAAATTTTAATTTAATAAAATACCTTGCATCAAAAAAACATACCGTATTTACAAATTTACCGTATATGAAAATTTAAATTAAATAAAATAATTTGTTTATTTTTATTTATTTATTTTGTTTTGGTTGAGTTATAAAAATCGTCATATCAAAATGTATGTATGTATGTATATATTTTAAAATCCATTTAAAGTGGATTTGAAATAGAAATTATGTACATACCCACACTTACATATTATTCATATTTAAATTGTAATCATAAGTATAGTTAATTACGTAATGCGTATATTAAATATAAAACTTGAAATTGAATTAAATTATAATTTTATAAAAGTCTAGTTCTCTAAAATCTTTGTACAAACACATTTTTTTTAAATTATTTAATTAAACTTACACATCAAATCAATATTTTTGCACAATTATAATATTTTTGTTTATACATATACTTTTGTTTCCTATATAAGATTCTAAAATATGATATTCATTTGTTTTCATTAAAAACCCCAGAAACTATGAATTGAACGATTTCTATTAATGGTAATACAACTTGTGCTAAAATTGAAGAGGTATATTATCTCCTTTAATCAATTAATAAACTTAATATCAAACTTTATTTACAAATAATAATATATATACACTTGTATTAATTAATCCTTTTATTTTCAAATTGTATTTACTTAATTTTTATAAGTGACTGTATATACAAACACTCTTTTATAGTAGTGAATAATAATTATACGTTTTATTATCTTCAGTGTGTATTATCAAATTATCACAGTGATTAATAATTCCATTCTAACAAAATTTAACAATATATTTTAATTTTCAGAACATAAAACTGTTATATTGTTATATTGTTATATATATATATGTAGAATTTGAGTTTATTTACAAACTTCTGACAATTTTATATTATTTTATGATATGACCAATGGAAATAAATTGTTTACATGCACAATATTTTAACTTCTTTGTAAAATTATAAATTTTGATCTATTTCAAGTTTGGAATATTTAAGAAAAAATATAACATTGGAAAAATCATCAATGTAAAATAGAACACATCCATACATATACATATATAAAAGATATCCTTAATAAACAGAAAAGAAAAAAATATTAAAACTAATTATATATATATATATAATATGTATAAATATATACATAAACTTATATTTTTAATTAGTTATAAGTTATATTAAACTTAGTAAATGAATATAAAGTAATATATACAATATAAATTACTCAATATATATATATATACAAATTAAAATATGTATATAATTTTGCTTGTTTTCGATTAATATTATACTAATGAATTTTATTGTAGTATTTAACGCAAATTTAATTTTTAATATTTTATTATTATACAAAAAAAAAATTTATATTAAAATTATTTCATATAAATGAAATTATGGAAAATTTTGCTTTTTTTTTCTGAGAATAATTATCTGTAAGTATATTTAAAGTTAATATTATTTATGGGGGAAAAAAAGAACCAAGATGAATAATTCCTTATTTATATTTTTTTTTTATTAATTACTTTTTAATATGTTTTACATAAATTTTATAATAAAGAAAAAATATATAAATGGTAAATTCATGCATATATACAAACATACATAAAATTAATAATATTCGTTATATGCAATATAATAAAAATATTACATAATATACTATTGTATTTAAACGAAAACAGAAAAATATATTTATACATAATATTTAAGAACTATAAATAAAACAAAATGCCATAATTAAACTAAAATTATGAAAAATAAATATATTTGTGCAGTTATATATGTATGTAAAACATATATATCTGCACACGTACATATATATATTTAAATGAAAAAATAAAATATACATAAAATAACACAAAAAAAAGGATAAATGAAAAATTATTATTTAAATAAAAATTAAAAAAAAAAATAAACAAAATTATTACCAAAATGAATAAAATATATTATAAAGTAAAATATAAATTATTTGAAAAATAAAATTAAGTGTCTTCTTTTTTTGGCTTCTTTTAATATTTCAAGAGAAAAGTGAGCTATTACATCGAAAGGTTTCTGTTGTTATGCATCTGAATTCACGTATTAATATTCGAAAGCATATTATGTTAAAATTTGATTTGAAGATTTTATTTTGATCTATTATTGATCGAACCATTTAAAAAATATATGTAGCTCTTCGAACAAAAATACCATTTTTAGTATAAACACAAAGTATGTTACACCAAAATACAAGTATTCCGATGACATCAAATTTCATGTTTTTAGTTTTTGACATAGCTTGCAGAACAATAGTATTAATTCATATTGATTTCCATTTAACAAATTCTAATGGTTTCTTATAGGATCAAGGTTTGTATTTTTGTCATATAGAGTTGTATAGATTTATTTTAAAGTTCGTAAATATTATACAATGAACATATTTCTTTGAATATTTTGAGTTTTTATAATTTTTTTAGAGTGAGACAGGCCTGAGCTGCCGTTTCATACAAATAGTTATAATATTTATAATACGTAAAAATATATTATACATAATATAAATTATTCTAATTTTTAGTGTTGCGCTTGCAGATTGAGTATTCTGCAAATAGTAAATTATACATTATATCACAGATTTCGCAAATGGCACAGTGCACAAGTATACATTAGGCTTTTATAACTTTTTGATTTAGCAAAATTTAAAAAAAATAAGAATATTAAAACTCTAAAATTTCGTCCCAATAAAGGAAATCGATTAATAAAAAAAGAGGATACCTGGGGTGGATAACGTTATACAAAACAATATTTTTAATATCAATTTGATATAATCTGTAACTCGACATAAGCCTTGTTAATTAAAACTACCTGCATACGAAATAAATAATGGGTTAAGTATTCATAGCAAATTGCAAAAATCAAACAGTGATCCATTAGTATGTTACTCTAGAGAGGTAAGTATCTTTTGAATCTAGAAACTTTGAATTATCAGTCGATGGGAAGGATATGAAATAGCAAATCTAAAATAAGGCAAATTTAGTACAAAATGCAAAATTTAGTTCCACCTTCAAGATGAAAATTAGTTTTAGAATAAAAAAGGTATTTTTTATAAGTTCTAAAAGTACATTCCTTTTTTTTGTAGTTTTAAATTATAAAATTGTAAAAATGCTATATACAGTTTTTTAAAATAATTTAAAAATAATTTAATCAAATTGTCATAAATATACGTATAATAGCAAATAAAAAATTGTAGATGAAGGAACTAACTAACTAAACAGCGAATTCATGTTCATTTCCAAACACCCGCAGTGTTCTCTTATTTCTGTATCAAAAATACCAGTAGCAATATATTATTCATTTCCAATTAATTAGAATTCATAAAAACTGCAGAATTCATGCATGCTCTTATGTCATTTTTGAGAATTTTCCCCCAAGAGGAAAAAAAATAAAATTTTATAACGTGTAAAACTCTTAGAATAAAAACAAAAAAGTGAAAATAAAAAGAATTGAAACGGATCTTCAATTAAAATCCAATTTTTTCCCTCTTCTCTTATACACTTACCCTTCTTTTTCAAATTATGTGTTCATGTTGTTATCTTGTTTATGTTTCCTTTCATCATATCATCTCGTTACATTTATTCCCGTTCCTTTTCACTTTTAACAATATTCTGCGATTATTATCACATGTAAAAAAATATTAAGGTACTTCCGTGCTTTATTAATAATATATGAATGCACATAGATACAATATTATTTTATATTATGCATACACACGCACCTGTAAATATACTTTAAGAATGACATTAAAAAAAAGCAATTTTTATTGATTTTGTTTTGGGTATTAAATTTGTAAAAAAACACTTATGCATACATAATAATAGTAAATAATTCTCTTTTTATAAACTAGTAATTTAATGAAGATTGCAGTCTGGACATTATCAAATATAATATAATGTATGTAAGAGTACAATCAAAAGTTAAAAAACAAACTAAAAAACCGGTCAAACCAATAATACCATTAAATACGCCTAAAAGTAATATAAGAAGAAAAAGTGAAAAACACGTTATTAAACTGTTAAATACATATGTGCATATACACATAGTGACAGCCTGAACTTAAGGGTATATTCTACATTTGTTACAGTATTAAATTATATTGCTATTAAACTATATTTTTTTAAGAATATTAAATTCAAAAAAAAAATCATATATAAAGAGGAAGAATAGAATTTCAAAATCATCAGAATCCATTTGGACTTCAATAGTTAAAGAACAATAAAAATTCAAAAGAAGTAATTTTTAATCAAAACAAAAATGGCTTCCAAGGTTTGTCTTTAATATGAAAACCATTTTATCAAAAATCAACTAGAATTTTGTGCCAATATACTTACTAACATAAAAATATAACTTTCAGTTCATTATTCTTGCTGCTATCGTTGCTGTTGCCCATGCTGGTGTATTAAGATCAACTTATTTACCATCACCACATCTTGCAATTGATACTCATCGTAAGTATTTGTCTATCAAAACATATTATATACAATTAAAACATATACTTTTGTTCTATATTAGTTGCCCGTCTTGAACCATTAGAAACACGCTATGAACCATCAGAAGGTTTCAATCCCGCTTATGAATTCAAATATGGTGTACATGATCAATTCTCTGGTGATTCAAAATCAGCTCATGAAATCCGTAATGGTGATTATGTACAAGGTACATACTCATTAAATGACCCAGATGGTACAAGACGTACAGTTGACTATACATCAACACCATTGACTGGTTTCCAAGCTACAGTACGTAAAGAACCCTTGTTAGAAAAAACTGTTTTACCAGCTGAACCAATTATAACTAAAACAGCAATCATTGAACCAACCCATGAAATCAAAAGATTCGAATCATTATACGAACCAACCATTTTAACTGCACCATCAACTAGAATCGTTGAACCAAATTTATTATTACGTAGCGCTGGATTAGGAGCATTAAAATTAGCTGATACAAAATTACATTTAGCAACACCCGAATTAGCCCCAGCACCAGCACTCCGTTTCACAGAACCAGCCACTATTGCAATTAAAAGAAACGATGCCGGTTTAATTCCAGAAGTTCTTACTGGATTTGCTGCAGGTACACGGTCATTCAGAACAACTGGTCCAATAACTACTTGGTAAAAAATATAAAAAAGCAATAAGATTATTTTATTGTTAGGAGCTATTTTAAAAAAAAAAAAATTGTTTAACTAAAAAGTTCAAATGTGAAAAATGTAATAAAATTTTTGTTTTGGGATTTAAAATATTTTTTTGTATTTATTTTGCAACATAACTAATTCTGGATTTTTCACCTAAAAACATGATTCTTCAAAACCATGTATCCATTCTATCTTTAATATTCGGGTTTTACTTCCTCCTTTAGAAATTACACCGTACAAATTTAAATTTTCCCCTTAAGAAAATCAATTTACCTGTTACATCTTTCACCAACAAATAAATATTTGAATTGCATTTTACAATATACGGTATAATTTGAAAACAAGTTTTGAATATTCCGGATTGCAATCTATTTTAAAGTCATGGAATTGCAACAAATTGTAAGAAATTCTCAATTGTAACCTGTTTCATAATTAAGTTACGAAGTTGTTATCAGTATGAGGTTAGTGTTCACTAACGGTTTATTGGCATATAAAAGTACAAATTCTATAAATATTTTTGTCAGAACCAAAAAAGCTGTGATCAGAAATTTTTTCCTAAAATATTGTTTGATGGCTCTAAAGGTTTGTTTGAGAAGGATTTTTTAAAGAATTTTATTATTCCCAATAATTTAAAATAAAAAAAAATTTTATCAAATTTTAGTTGTTCATCTCTTGTACAATTCTAGGACTAATAACAAATTGTGGGCAATCTGGTAGGTTTTAGTGCCAAATTTTATTATTTTCTATTACAATAAATTTTTAACAATTTCTTTAAGCTCCAACAATTAAAATTGATGAAGAAGAAATACGTCTGGGAGAACCGGGTACGTAAAATTTACATTTGTTCCATCAACAGAAATTATTTCAGCTGAAACTGATAACGTTAAAATTTATTTTCTCTTTTTTTTAAAGAAATTAAGAAAAACAATGTTACAAAGACTATAGGATATGAATTTCAATATGGTGTTCATGACATAATAACGGGTGACTCAAAATCTGCTTATGAAATAGGACTTCATGGATCGGTAAAAGGGAGTTATACACTTAACCAACCAGATGGAAGTAAAAGAATTGTTAATTATGAAGCTGATCCCATATCTGGTTTTAAAGCTATTGTTCAAAATGTTCCATTAAATAATGGAAAGGTTTCAGTCGCAGATGCCGGTTTAACCTTAATTAACGCTGATATCAAAGAAGCATTCATTGGTATTGCTGACGAAAAAGAATCTGCATTAACTTTGGAAAACATAACAAATATTGATGATGTTAAAGCAGAAAATATCAATGATGAAGAAAAAGCTGTTGTCCGATTGCCGGTTCAAAACATTGCCCTCTTGACTGATACATCCGAAGAGGAACCAATAGTATCTAACAATCCAGAATCTATAATTTCCAATTTGTTATCATTAGGTATTGGTAATTTATCTCCGACGTTTTTAAATCAGCTAGCTGAATTTTTGAAAACCAATTTTGCAAAAGAAATCATAACAGAATCTGAGAAAATACCATCAGCACCACTTTATACAGAAGCCATAATTGCGTCGCCAACTGATGGTAAACGTATATCTGTATCCGATTTCTTCTCAAATGGACCAAATCTTATAAAAAAGGAGTAAAAAAAAAGAGTAAAGAATAAAATATTTCGATTAAATTTTAAAGTTGTTAAATAAATAAAGTTTCTCATTTTTAAAAATACTTTTTTTGTGCCGCACGATTTTTTTTCTAATTTTTATGGTACTTTATTTGTTTCAGTTCTTAGATCTTTCCAAAAGCTTAGCTGAACATTGGACCAAATAATCATAAATTAACTCTTACTGAGGACATTTATTTAATATTAAAATTTTCAATTTGGCAAGGTTCCAAAACTTTATCAATAGTTAACACTTAAGTGTATTCCAAACATATTCAAGTTTCAAGCACCGGAAAAATGCTAAAACTTTTGATTATTTTCCTTAGCCAATCTCATGTACTGTGTATAATGAGATATATTTTTATGTTATATAATTCCAAGTGTTTACTATAAAATTCTAGAAACCTATTCAAAATCGAGAATTTGAAAATGGCTTTTAGACAAGAATTCTTTAAAAAAAATTAAAATTTGTTTTTAAAATTTATTTTTCAATTGGATTTTGTTACTCTTTTAACAAAGATCTTTATTATATAATAAATAAAAAATTGTTTTTAAATACGAGTATATGTCTTGTTTTTACAAAATTTATAAAATGAATTTTATAAAGACTTAATACACAAAACAAAAATAAACGCTTTAAAATAACATACATAGCTCATAATTATAAAGATTGTGCAAAAATATTAAAAATGGAGAAAACTAAATAATAAAAAAAAATAATAGTAATAATACAATAAAATCCTACAAAGTCTGAGTCGCCTCTAGTTTTGGTTCTTCTTAAAAATTAGTTATACTTTCATTGTTAGGGACGTATGATGCGATGATTGTGGTACTAATAGTATATTTAGGTGTGCATGTAGCTCTATATCTATATTTTATTTCTAATGATAGTAACCATGATGAGCAACAACTGGTGCTGCAGCTACTGGATGATGAGCATAAAATGGAGCAGCAGCAACTTTAGCAATTGCTGGAGCTGCATATACAGGAGCGGCTACTTTAGCAATTGGTGCGGCATAAATTGGAGCAGCAACTTTTGCAATAGCGGGAGCAGCAACTACAGCTTTTTGTACCAAAGGCTCTTTACGGACAACAGCATTAAAACCACTTACTGGATCAGCAACGTAATCGACTGTACGTCTGGTACCATCTGGTTCTGTCAATGAATAGCTACCTTGGACAACATCACCATTACGTGTTTCATGTTGAGATTTTGAATCACCAGTTAAACTATCTTGGATATCGTAAGCAAAAGTATATTGTGGATTTGGATCATAAGGTTCGGGTTGGGCTACTTTTGCAACAGCAATGGGCGCTGCAACTTTGGCAATAGCTGGGGCAGCATAAACAGCCGGTGCGGCAACTTTGGCATAAGCTGGACCAGCATATGCTGGTGCTGCATAAGCTAATGGAGCTATAATTTTATTTTTCATTTTAATATAAATTCACAATTAAATTACATAAGTATTAAAATAGATAGAGTCACAATATATACCTGGTCCTGCTGCATATGATACAGCTGGTAAAACTGGAACAGCATTGGCAACGGCTAATAAACCGACAAATACTATGAACTGAAAATTTAAAATTTTAAAAATATTATTAATTTTCCTAATATAACAGTTTCATGAATTAATATTACAACTGATGTTTTCGAAAAAAAAACAGGAACTATAACATTATTTTAGAGACCCTAATATTTTAGTTTTTCAAGACAAAATATTTTAGTAACTTAATCAGTATTGTAATAAATTTTATAAATAATTCACGCATTTATACACAAAGCTCATTTTATACCGAATAATTCTATTTTTATATTTCAAATTTAGTATGGCGTACGGTACAAGTAGTAATTTTTATATCGTATTACAAATAAGCCTAACGAAATAATGTTTTGAGACTCTGTGTTGTACTTGGAGTCTCTAAAACTTTCAAATAATAATTATATTATTATAATTTTTTACATATTATATGTAAGTATTTGTAAAACAGATAAAACTAATTTTTAATATTAATATTAAATTTAAAATTCTCGCAAATATTGTGGAAGTAGTGAACGTATATTTTAAGGCTCATACTATAGAGTATGCAAATAGCTTCAAATTTGAAAATATGTTTTTAGTGATCGGCTGATAATTTCAAACGTCATTTTGTTTTTAAAAAAGTTGTATTCTTAAAAAAGTTGTCCTTCTTTATATTCATTATTTCCATTGTAATTTCCGTTTTGAGCAAAATTTCAAATCAAATACAAAATTAATTTTTAATATCAATCAATGATGTTCAACAATTGTAAAAAATTTTATATTAATATCAAAAATATTTTTCATTTTTGTATTGTAATCACTAAAAAAATTAATAAGAATTATTCACTCATTATGTAAGTTCAAGAAATTTTTAACATTTTAATTTTATTCAAGATTTTTTATTTTAGTTTTAACTTTTATTAATTTTTTAATTTTAAAAATAATACCAATTAAAATTTAACACACCTTAAATGCCATTTTAAAGCTAATTTTCTTCTATAAAATAATTTATTCTATAACGAAAAAAAAAAACAGAAAACTGTTCTGTTTTTATTTTATTCTTGTTTTTTGAGACTACAGTAGAAGATTACTGTTATAAGATCGTTAAAGTTGAACTGTGCAAAAATCGGAAACTGCAAGAGCTTTTTATACTCGAAAAAATTAACTTTTATTAAAATTCATTATATTTGCAAATAAATCCATGCGTTTACTCAAAATTGAAAAAAAAAGAGTAGAAAAATTGGGAAAAAAATTTTTGCAAATACAAAACAAAAATAATAAATATTACAAGTACTGAAAAAACAACACCACCAATTTGAAAAAAACAAGAAAAAAATCAAAAATTAAATTTAAAAAGTAGACTTAATTGAAATGCATGGTTAAAATGACAGTGTAATAAAACCAAAGACAACCACTAAAATATTAACCATAAAAACAATAAAAACGAAGAAAAAAAATGAGCAAAGACAACCACTACAACAATAAAAATACAATTAACAATCATTGTACACAATATATCAAAAATTGGGAGTAAATTATAATAATTTAAAAAAAAATCAAAAAAAAAAAAACAATAGCAAAATTATAAAAAAAAATATTCGAAAATTGCAAGCTGCTGTTAAAACTGCAATTCGAATAAATTTTTCTTATAATCGTAAAATTTCGGGTCCCCCACAATTTTTAATTTTTTTTTTGTTTTTTCTAAATATTTTTTGTTAATAAAATCTGTTTATTTAAAAAAAGAGTGTTCTAATTTTATTGTATGTATGAATGTATAAATACTTGTTTGAAGAAAAAAAGGTGAATTTATTCGACATCAATGATATAGGCTTTTTAATGCTCTACATTGCTCTACATTCTTTATAAAAATTGAAAAAACGAAAAATTAAATGCAAAAATGATTGTTTTTTTTTTCAAAATGATTTCATCTACATATTATTGTGAAACATTTATTTAGAGTAATTATTAGTTATAGAAAATTATTCTTAAATATTTTAAATTCAATTTTTTTTTATTGGCATTCTTTCTTCAAATTAAATAATTCATAAATAAGGGTTTAAGTCATGTGATATGATATATGTATGTATGTATTCCCGATAGATTAAAATTTTGTTTTTTGACTATAAAGAATTTTTTGATAATGAAAATTCCATTGTTATACAGAATTATTTATTGGCAAATGAATTTCAAGTGCCCCAAATATATACATATGAAACAGAAGGCCAACAGAATTTGCATAGATTTTATTTAAAAATCGCGTGTAATACTGTAAACCGAAACTAACATATTATACAAAAGTGCGTGCCATACAAAACGCTACTACTTATTTTTGTTTTTACCATGATCGGGAAAGAAAAATTACATAATCTCATATTGTATAAGAGTACTAAGAATGATCTTATGTATTTTTTCGTTTTTCTTAAAAAATGAGCACGAGCTGTACTTTAAAATTGCTACGTTTGATATACACTTTTGATTGAAATTATGCATATTTTTAAAACATCACTAATGTTTGGTTACGAATTTTTTAAAATTCCCCTTAGGGCTTTTATGCGTATATTTATTATGCATATTCTCTTTTCATTTAATTTTTTTTTTGCTTTTCTGCACACAACCTAAATTCATTTTGTTTACCTTCATTTTGTTTCATTTTGTATACCTGTATGTAGATATGTATGTATATAAAAAATTCTTAAAATGTCACGTGATAGTGAATTAAAAAATTTCTACTTTCAAATTTTTATTGAAAAAAAAAAATTAAAAAAAAAAGACTGAACAGGATGCAGTAATTTTTTTTTTCTTTTATTTAAGTAGATAAACAATATTAAAAAATAGTTTTTAGTTTATTAGAATTTTAGAATTAATAAAGATTATTATGCTTAAGAATTACATAAGAATTAGTCTTTTTAAGGTATTGATTATTGTTACACAGTTGTACCAATTACTGTTATACTAAATTTCAAAAAAATTTGCAAATGTGGTTTATAAAGTCGTAAGCATAGAGAGTGTAATAAAGTACGCAGCACACATGTTTTCTAAATTTTAAAGTTTTGAGATATTCAACCTGTTAATCTGTTAGTCGTATCACTTGAGCTGAAGGGATATAATTGAAAAGAATTGAGAATTCCGAATTTTTGAATTTATATTCAAATTTTAAATTCAGAATTTAAAGATTTTCAAATGGCAATCCATAACTTCAAGTGATGTGACATAAATGTGGGTAAATAATTTATTTTTTCGTCTACAATGTTCATTATCATATTATTAAAGAAGTAAGCAATTCAGATGAAAATGAAGTGCGTACGTATGCATACTACTTCGAAAATTTTATTATTTTTGTTTTTTAATAAATATTTCTTATTCAAGTAAAATAATTCAAAATCCATATCGACAATAGGGTGTCAATTACTCAAAATTCTCAAGTTATTTAAAAAAAGTATATAACATGATTTATGAATATTTGTCTTAACAAAACATCTCTAAGTTTAAATGAAAACTTTAAATACCATTCCATTATAGAAATAGTTGATTCCATGTGAAATGACCTTGGCATTAAAAAATCATATACCCAATAAAAATTTTTCCTTTTTTTTTCGTTTTGTTATTGTCTTTCCTTCTCTAGTTCAAGATACAATCCCTCTACTATTTATAATGTAGCTATACGTACAATTTTATAAAAATATTTAATGCTCATTATAAAATTTTCTTCTCACTTTTAAAATACCTAAACAGAACTTTTTCCACAATGACTATCAGTTGGTTTAGCAAACAAAATAAAATGTCTTCATTCCTCATTAAAATAAAACAAATGTAACAACCAATAGTCATTTATAAAATATTCAGAAGCTAAAATTAACAATTATATAAAAAATCTCATCAGAAAAAAATAATAATAAAAATATCAGTTGATGATCATACAAATCATCAATTCTGTAAAAATACCTGTAACACCTTTTTTCAATTTTATCACTCCCATTAAAACATAAATCACATTGCTATTATATACATAAAATAACAAATAGAATTGAAAATAAAATTGAGATAATAGAAAATAACAAGAAATGCATGAATACTCATTAATTTAGGAGTCATTATGTTCTAAAATGGCATTTTTTCATTATCAGCCTCTTCTATACATTAATGTTTTGATTTTTTACGTTCATAGTCTGTACTTATTACATAATGGTTGTTGAGTCAATATACAAATATTAATACCCAATGGTTTTAAATTACGACATAGGTATTCTACTACAGATCTTATAGATTTTCAACTAAGAATTTGCTGAAATTCCCATGGCACTCGTTAAATTATTAATTGATCCATATAATAGAAATCAATTGAAGTCGAATTCATGTGGCGAAAAATTAATATATGTATATTTATGTTATGTATAAATATTTACCTTTACTCTGTCATAAGGAAACTTACAACATAAGTTCGGATAATGGCTGAAGTATTTAACAAAAACTGACTGTCAGACGATACATTGGTAATCGAAATATTTTCTTTAATTTGAACATAAAAACAAGTTTTAAGATAAACTATTTTTTTTAAGAAAATAATCTTTTAATTATTTTATGAGCAATTTTACATTTCATTAAAATAATTCTGGCTACAGATACACTTACATATTATACATATGTACATAATATAGTAGGTTTCTACTTCTAAATTTCTTTTCGTAAAAATATTACTGTTCCATTAACATTTAAATTTTATGCATATCAGAGTGTGTTTGTGCACATATAGGTAATTGAATTCTTTTGTTTTTTATTTTCTGATTTGATGATGTAGACATTTATTTATTCGATCTGAACCTGACAGTAAAGAGTCTATTGTGATGCCTACCATCACTATCATCATTTTTGCTATTGTACTTATTACAATCATTGCTAAATGTGGATGTTGTACATCGATATACATATATTATATATGCATATATAATAGTGACAATAGAATCAACCTACTGGCATACCTATAAATAGCATAACTATCTATTAACCTATAGTATTGATGTTAAATTTAATATTCTAGTTATTGTAATGATTAATTAGATTTGTACATTTTTTTATGTAAGTAACAAATATGTATATTCGCATGCAAAAGTGTGTAGCATCAGTAAATATATACAAAAATTTTAATTGACTTAATAGAAATCTGTCTACATGACATTTTTTAAAGAAGATTTAATTTGATGAATGATTTAATGATTGAAATTGAAAAATACATAATAACTTTTGTTACATACATGTGTACACAAATGCAAATTCAAAAATATGTATATACATATATTTATTTATTTATATATGTAAGCATATGCATTTTTTTTTCCTTCTTCACTCCTAGGAGGAGTATAGGGCTAGTGCATGATATCTATCATGCCCTAGTCTCTACAGTCATAGAGAGTTAGCTAGGTAGGTGACTAGCCTACCGTAAGCATATGCATTTTACGGTACTAATATTTTAAAATAGCACTATAGTTTATGAAATTAGTAAAGAACTCAAGTCAACTTTACTTTTATAATACAATCAATTCAATGCATAGAAAAAAAAATTTAATACTTACAATTAAATTACTAAAATTTAAAGTATTTTTTCTGTTTCGTGTCATTTTATTTTTTAATATTCACTGTGAATTCGATTCACCGCAGGAGTTTTATTACAATTTTTCTACATATATGCTACAACAATGTTCAATATGGCTAATTTATTTTCCAGACGATATAATGATATCGCAGTATATTAAATGTTTCAATTTGTGGTTTACAGCATCGTGTTAATGATTATGTCCGCCAAAAACACTTCCCAATAATTGTTATATAATATGCTATATGTATATTATGTGTGAATATAAAAATATTTCCAATTTTATTTAGTACGCACACTACCAATTTATATTATTTTACTTAATAGTAAGAATTGTTTAAATAAAAAACAAAATTGATTTTTTAAAGTGTCAATTATAAAATTTTTATAGGATTCGCGAATCTTTTTTTTATTTATTACATCTATTGAATTTTAACAGCACACCTGGAGAAAAATACTGTGATTCTAATTTCATATACAAAATTTTTCTTTAAAATACACTTCTGCACCTCAGAGA